TATTTTGACGATTATATTTTTTACGTTACACAATTCATTGTGAGACGCGTGTAGACTAAATTATATTACCATCAAACAATTATAAAATTCACAACTATCTGTTTGATGAGCCTATAATTTAATTATAATCAGACAAATGGCAACAAAACGCAGAAAAGTTGATGCCAAGTGTAAAGGGTTCAATTGCTCCAAAAAATGAAATGCAATGAGGAAATAAATCTATATTCCATTGGAGAGATTATCACTGCTTGATTTTTATTATAAAAAGTATCATTCGTTTGGTTTTCAACTTTCTAAATATATGTACGGCCCAATGACTTGCAACCCTTATTTTGGCCCGCGAGCGACAAAAGGTTGCCGACCCCTGCCCTAAACTATACATCAGAAAATTTCTATACTATTTATACCTTACCGTTGTCGACATCATGTCAGTATTTGTCCCTGTCACAAAATGCTTTTGCCATCATTCCAGTAATTGACCTTGTAATTGGAGCACAGAGCCAAGCATTATGTTTGCTATCATAACCCGCAAGGTATTGATTCTTGTGGGGCAAGAGTATGCTCTTGGGCAGGGTTTCACAAACTTTTGCGACCTACAGGTGTGAGGCAGCATTTTCAGCTCTTACCAATATGATGACAAAATGTAGATCGAACCTTGTCGTAGAGTCCTAGGTTTATTTTATCATACTTTTGTTATTGTATCAACTTTATGCTGGTTCTAATCAAAATCTTTTTTATGCACTTTCATTTGCTTGATCAGGCCAACAGCGGACCTAATACAAATGGATGTCAGTTCTTTATTACTTGTGCGAACTGTGAGTTCCTTGACATAAAGCATGTAGTATTTGGTGAGTATAGATAGTTTTTTTTAAATAATCATTGTTGTTTTTTATGATCATAGCAGCGTTTCCCATTCGGGGTGAAATTTCTTCAATTCAAGGTGTTCAAACGTTTTAGTGAAGGAGACTTTACTTTGTTTTGGCGTGCCTATCACTAAACACTATCTACCTATTTTGATATTATTGTATTATAGTTGGTGATAGTTGTTTACTATTCGAAAGCCAGAGTATGAGTTGCAACTTGCAAGTATCACTAGATAATGTATCAACAACAAAGGCAAACTTAGATGTTATGCATAGTGATATAACAAAACACCGGTATAACATTTTTTATGAATTTGTTCCGTCATGTTTGGCTGCTAGCCTTTTCAGCACATTCCTAAGTCCCTTCCGCTTCGGGTGTGGGCTTCATGTCCATATATTTGGGTATATTCTCTTTTTAATCTACGCTCGAGGAGTAAACTACATTTTTTTACGTAACAGAATTTATCGTGAGACACGTTTAGACTAAATTTTAATATATCCTAAATATTCTATTGACCAACAAATCGTTTAACGAGCCTACAATTTAATTATAATTAGACAAATAGAAACACGAAGAAAAGTTGATGCTGAGGGCAGGAGTTCAATAGCGCAGTAAATATTGGAATATGTTGGTTGCAATGCAATAAGAAAATAAAATTCATTCTATTCGAGAGATTCATCACTGCTTAATTTTTGTAAGAATGTATCTTCTAAAAGAATATCTTTATCAAAATTTCACAAACCATGCAAAAATATTCACTTCAATGTTTGAAAGTACATATTTGTGCGAACAAGTATTTTCGAAAATGAACATTACAAAGAACAAGCAAAGAACTGGAATTAGTGATGCCCATTTAGAAAAAGTTCCTTGGCGTCGTAAAGCTATCAACCGCGATGCAGCAACAAGACAGTGTCACATTAAAGATCATTGTAATAATTTTTTATTAAGACGACTGAGTTGAGTTCACGAATTGTCGCAGCTTTCGCAAGCTGTTCCGTTTTTAACTTTCCAAAAAATATAAGCCCGCAAAAGACTAGCAACCCTAAATTTTGTCACGCGAGCGACATGAAATCTGCCGACCCATGGGCCGTAGCCGATAGTCGGTCACAGCTTCTTCCACATCCGAGTCCATGAATCCAAAAACAATGGCTGATTAATTCTATGGACTGGAGACCGTGGTAGGATGAGGAATCTGGGATGAATTTTACCGAAGTATTTTGACGCAGGTCATCAGGCTATAGGAATGAATGAGATGTACGAAAATCATTATTATAAGTGTGGGAAAACTAACTTTGTGTTCATTATTTTAATGTGAAATGGGGTGAATTTAGGGAGATAAATGCTATAAGGCAATAGTACACGGCATTCTTGAGGTAGAACCCTGGATTCTTTCATTTCCGACATATCATATGGTGAAAAACATGACTTTACTCACATTTTTTGTAGTGCTGTGGGAGCGATGAAGTTGTATAAACTACTGTAGGTGGGCGATGGTCAAAAAAGTTTGGGAACCACTGGTGTACACCATGTTTTCATTATTGTGAAAAATTTAGGGTTTTAAAATTTATTCTTTATTAAATTTCAGGTAAATTATTGACTGAAGGGTTGCTAGTTATGAGAAAGATAGAAAATACTCCAGTCGGTGCGAACAACCGACCAAAGTTGCCTGTCGTAGTAACACAATGTGGAGAATACTGAGCGGCAAATTCTTTCTACGGAATGTTTTAAGGAAACATGCTCGTAATGCGTGACTACAGAACTTTGACAGCAGTGTTCTTCCGGAAAAATATCTTTGCAAAGTATGATTATGGGACCTTATGCCTGATAAATCTACTCCATATTGAAGATCATGCTCATGATATGTGACTGCAAAAATTAGACACTAACTTTTTGTCAGAAAATTTGCTCGTAGTGCGTAACAGAAGATCTGAATGTAGCACAAATCAATCATATAGGAATAAATTTTGGCAATAAAAATATTGCTCGCTACTAAGGATCTAGCTAAAAAATAATTTTTATAAAATTTTACTCATTAAAATATGGCTTTTTTCATTACCTCGTGAATTTGATTGAAAGAGCGAAAAGTTTGTATTATCACTGACAGAATCCTATGGTTTCTTCTTAGATAAGAAATTGGGGAGTAAAAAGATCCCAAAAAAAGTTTCATGTTGGGGAGGAGTAAAAAATTGCTCAAGCAAACTATCACTTTCGTTATATATGGTGAAATAATATACCCACGCAAGCTTTTTTATTGGTGCGGAAACTATGGAGTAAGAAAAATTTGAAAATGGATTCTGGAAAGTTTTTTATAGTGGAAAGGAAGTTATGGAGTAAAGAAATAAGACTTGCTGCACTATGTTTACTATTATATAAATATAGAAAGAGAATGAATGTGGTTAGATGAGGTTTCTTATTGGGGATAATACTCTACTCGTTTCAGATGAGTGAACAATTTTGTGATTATAAAACCATGAAAAAATACGCTCGTGAGCTGAAATTTGAACAGTGCAGACATTCATCTCTTGTTATATTGACGCATATCAGAGCAACGAGGCTGTTATCATTTAACGGCTGATGATTTTTCGCAAGCTAGGAGCTGAAAGAACATAATTAGTTTCAAATCATTTATGGGTTGATAGTTTCGGGTGCTTCGGACATCTCTTATGGGTTTTCTAGTTTCTTTGGTGGTTTTGTAAAGCAGTAGTTTTGTGCCACAGTAGAAGCGGGGCACAATCGGTCGTCATTCATTTCAGACTCAGTTGCAATTTGGATATATTGCCATATTAAATTATTTGAACAAATAACCATGGTTTTCGACGAAGCCAGCAAGTGGAAACGTTGCACGCAGATGTTTCGCCAATCTGTATCAAGTTACAAATGGCACTAAAGACACGTTCTACACTTAATTTGTAGCAAAACCATTCTATTTATATCACACTATTATACATTTTATCTTTATATAGATTAAATATAGAACACTCGCAACAAAAATCCTCATTTTCGCTCGAATTTTCACCAAAATCCTGAACTAGTAATGCCGTGGCGACATCAAGTGTTTCACAGGTATTTGATTGAGTTGCCAAGGCAACCCACTCAAGGGGAAGTACCTACTCGAACGACGCATTCTAATTTTTGAGTGATTCGCTGCTGTTTCTGTGATGTTAGGGATGATTTCGGTGTTTATATTTTATTTATTTAATCTATTTTAGTAATAAATACATGGGTTTATTCCTATTGATATATTTAGCTGCTTTTTAACTCTTTATTCAGTCGTAATTTTCTGTCGTGATGCAGCCATTGTGGCTTTTGGATTACTTCATTACTTTCCTATTTGCTGTTGACAGGGTGGTTAAAACATAATTAACATTTTAAGCTGATCAGAATTGAGTATGGTGGTAATAGTCACCTTCACAACGTATTTCAAAGCATTTCCATGCTAAGTTCCCTATAGTGCTGACTTTTGTTTGTGTCTTCTGACATTTATATGCCCAAGTATAATGCACAAAGCTGATTATTGTTATGTAACAGTCAGACAGTAGAGCACAATCCAAGAATTCCAAAAATAGCATTAAAGGACAATAATTTTATCAGTGAGTGTAAACCCCGCTTTCATGATACAGTCGGGGTCTCCATACCAACTCAAACGTCATCATTGAATTCTCCTGCAAATAATATTCTAATTTACTGAAGGAAAGAGAATTTATTATAGATTTCGAGAGTTTTTGGCATAAATGCAATTTTGTCTACATGATGACCGACGCATGCCACGTCAAGCTGTAGTTGTCATACAATAGGTATAATAAGGGTATTATTGTTATGCTCTAATGACCTTTCACGCGTGCCTTTTTTTTATTTACGTTGTGGCGCATGAATACCTTGTTTACGGGGTGTCTATGTTTTGCTGTTCTAGGAGTAACACGTGAATTTGATGCTGTGCTGTGTTAAGAAGTAAATGTGAATACTTGAATATATGATTGTTGGTGTGTGGGTTTGGGAAGTAAGGTGCCTCAATAATAATAATTATAGTTGCCATCAACACGGAGAACTATAACAGTATATATGGAAAAATTGAATTGGTTTATCTCATTCATTCACATTAAAATCTTATCCTCGTCTATTCATTTTATTATTTTTAGATCCAAGCAGATTACAAGTTGTGGAAAGCATGTTAAAGTTATTAGAAAAATAAGCTAATTTTTTGTTATTAAATACTCAAGATCTATCGACATTAATATGATGGAGGTAACTAAAGCTCTGTCGAAAGGTTCAATAAAGTTTTACACTTCGAACCCATTAATGGATTTTCAAAGTTCTGAAAAACGAAGATCTCGTGACCAAAGTCGTTTGTCGGCGCATTCCCAAGGTCAAACAAGCTCTAGAATGAGTCGGCTTGGTTCTACGGTTTCGAGTTTAGGCCAAATGCGGAATATTGAAAACTGGATAAACGAAAAATCACTGAAAAGAATCCAAGAGAATCACAGCATTGAGAGCCTTGAATCTCGACAGTTATACATGACGGTCCTAAAAAACGAAGAAAATTTTGTACATGGCATTGATGAATTTCTACAAGAAAACGAGTTGCTGAATTTACGCAGGAGAGAACTTTTATATAAAGAATGGCATGAGAATGTTTACGAGCCCACACGTCGTAAAATTCAAAATAAAATTGAAACGGAATACCCAATACTTGATGAGAAAAAACGTGAAGAATATGTAAAATATTTGAAATATAAGAATAAGAAAGGCGATGTGTTTTTAGACGTTATGTCGAGAGAAGAATACGATCCAATGTGTCTTCTACACCCTGACAGTCCGACTCTGCTAAAAGTACAAACGCCGAGACTCCAAGATCCGTTATTAGCTCAAGAAAGGCAAAGAATTGATGAAGAACGCACTATATCCCGCTGCGAAACTGGAGAAATCCTCTCAGATGATGCTATCAGACATCGCTGGCTCCCTGCTCTACCACTTCGGCCACTAGGGCGCCATGGTACAACTTGTCAAACGTGGCTTGAAATGCCGCTGCGTCATATGGAAAGCCCGATTCATGTTCGAAGTTGCAAACGTATGAAAAGATTATCAAATGCTTCTACGATAAATTTCGACGAAATCGGAAACACAAGTGACAACAGAAAACTCCTACCACTGCTAAACACAACTCCAATCACCACAGAAAATGTGATCGAAAGCCCTGGAAAATCTCCAAAGCAAGTAACATTCACACTGCCTTCTCCAACAGAAGTTACCACCTATGAACTAAATAAAGACGAGAATAGCCAAGCAGATGAAATACAAGAATAATTAGGAAATAGAAATTAGAATATACTTACCATTTAGAATCTACCATCTTAGACTCGAAATATATTAATCATGTTTCAATATTCCCACAACAAACTTGGCTTGGTTTCGTATTTGGTGACTATAATGCTTTATAAAATATAACCAAAAAATAACATTATGTTTGTTTAATTAAGGATATATTCAGAATTGTGCGGCCTCGGTCATTGAATGTTTCAATATTCGATTATGAACTTTGATAAGAATCTTCTACCTTAATCTTTGGCACATTGCAGAATTTTGAATGTATACAGAATTTCTCATTTTAGGAAATTGGCTTTCTTAAAGTTTTAATATGTTTTCATCCAAATTTGATCCACAATTGTAATATTTTATAACAAATAGTAGATGAACAATCTTTGGCTCATGTGTAATTCTAAATCACAGGCTGTTAGCTTTTTCTGGATATTATTTTTTGAATTAGTGTAAATTTATAAATTTCCCAGATATAACTGTTTTGGAATGTAGGTTAGTTTGGTATTTTTTCTATAATTTTTGGCAAGTTATACTCGTTATTTGGTATCAGTTTCATATTTTTCTTATGCTCGGTATACGAAGCTGTTTCGCTGACTAGTAAATTGATTCGCATGACAATTTATCAAACATTAAGTCTTGCGTCAACTACATTACATATGTATAAGTATCTGATAATATTATTTCGAATATAATTCAAAATTAATTATAAGTGAAAAAAATGCTTCGAAATGGGCACATGAATGAAAAAATATTCTTATATAAAATAACAGAATAAACTTTGGCATAAAGTCATTGTAATTTGTTGTAGAATAGACTTACTGTAATATCTGCTATCAATATTTAACTATCAGATATGGAACAACCCTGCTCTTACAGTATTTGATGCTTGTAGCTGAGCGCTTAAAGAAGTTTATCTACTTTGTTTATTAAGCTGTTAACGCTTTTCACTTTACTCCAAACAAGCTTCTACCAAATATTTAATTGTAATTGTATTATGCCACTGTATTTTTTGTTCTCGGCTTCCATATTGGTCACTGCTGGCCAAAGTATGCTAAAGAAACTTACCGTAAGTCAACTTTTATTATAATCTGCCAAAGTTTGTAGTTTTTGAACTAATTTACCTACGTTGTTTATTTTTAATTACTTTTGAAGCATGAAAAGGCCACTAGAAGTGATAGAGACTACACTCATCTGGCACACTAGCCTTTCAAAGTTCAAATGGTGTCCAGAAAATTCTACCCAAGAAAAATTTGAAACAAATCTAAAAATTGATGTGAAGAATCTTCATAATGAGGATTGATATTTAGATTAAGATTGTTTTGGCTGTGACATTCCATTGTGGACTTTCCGTTGGTGTAATTTTTGGAGTCGTTGTATTTCTCTCGTGCTGTTGAAACATGTTTTAATTTTTAATTCCAATGGTCAAGTGCTATTTAGTCCAGGTATGGGCTTTGTCACTTTTTTTTCAGATAATCTCATTTTGCTTGAAAATTTTGGTCTTTCACTCTCACTGCATTATATTATAATTAATATTGTTTCATGCTTTTGTAGTTATTCAATTTACCATTAGTGAATTCAATTCAATTTGCCTGTTTGCTCGCATCTAGTTTCTAATTTTTTTAAATGAGTTTTTTAACCCTGTGTGCCCTATTTCGACCAGGGAGATTTGATGGATTTTTCATGTTTGTCTGGTCAGAATGAAGGCCTGAACTGAATTGGCAAAACTCTAGCCTTGGTGCTGTTCAAATTACGAAGTAAGGTACCACCATATTACTGTATAACAATGGTTCTTAAAAATTTTAAGCCACGTCTCTTTTTAGAATTTGTGAAGTCTGACGCCCGTCCTCAAAAATAACTAGCTAACAAAACAGTTAGTAAGTCAAAAGTATGTTTTATAAGACAAACACATGGATGGAATCGTAATTTCTAAACAATATAGAAATGTAAATATCCAAAATGGGGCAGGAAAGATCAATTATGACAAATATTTTTATTTTTAATTAGCTACACTCCCCCTCAAAAAATTGTCTATGCCCCCCTTGTGGGGTGCGTCACACCGTTTGAGAACCACTGCTGTATAGTATTCATAACTCTCGGCAATTCATTGGGTGTCTGCAACTTTGCCCAGAGATGAGTCTCCATCACTTTTGAGTGTGTGTATCCTATCATTGTTAAACAATGAAACCACAATAATTCTGTATTACATCAGTAGCCCTGCCCTTGTCGCAGGTAAATTTGCTCAAAGATGAGTGTCCTTCACTTCCTAGTGGGCATGTGTGGCCTTGCTTTGAGCAAACTTTCACAGTCAGTGGCTTGTTATAGATAGCCTCGTTTTAAGTTAAATACATGTTACTGTTGCCTTGAATTGAGTAAAATCTCACAAAAGAAAAATCCCACAAAAGTTTCTGTCATAAAAAAATAGTTAGTCTTTATTTATCAAAATCTCATGAGGGAATAAGTTATCATGCCTTGTAGTGTGCTTACACAATGTTACTGCACATTAGTCACATATACAAGTAGTGCAATTATATTCATTCTATATATTGTGTTGTGTATCATTCACATTTTTGTAGAAATTGGTAATTTTTGGACTAAATATGGCTGCCGCCTCTTTGCAAGAGAATGAACCTGACTCAACGGTTTATGAATCAAGAACTTCTTTCTTAAATTTGTTGGAAGAAAAACAAAGAGCTTTGAATAAGAAAGCTTTGCTGCACAGGTATTGCATTTTACTGTAATTCTTATGTGTTATTATGCATAATAGTTATTGTGGTTTTTCATTTTTATCCCGAGGAGAGGAAAGTCAACAGGACAGATTAGCAGCCCCATGGTGAATTATTTCGATCATATGATCAACTATTTTATTGAACCAGCTGCAATGACCTGGATGGTGGATAGTAGCCTACCGACGATAATGTGGACCGCTCTCCATGGATTCTGAATATTAAGACTTAAAAGTATAAATCAGCTGCTTGATCTGACCGACTAAAATACATCGCCCATTTAGAATTACACTTTCTTAACAGTATTCTCTACTGGGATAAATATGAAATGTTATTATTTGTGGACTCATTACTTATCGATCTTAAGATCGGTGAGTATGTTGATAGGTATTTGTCTGTTTGTGGATTTGTCTGTTAGACACTTTCGCGTATGTTACGCGATATCTCACGAAAGCGATGTTGAATCTCCTCCAAATTATGCATGTGCATTTATCATATCTCGGACCAGAAGCCTATTGATTTTGAATGAATTATGTCGTATAATTAGCAAATTATTAATTAATTAGTGATGAGCAAATGAATCGAAACCGCACTTTCTGTTTTGGGGGATCCCCTAACTTTCGATCGGTATGTCTTCAGTCTCTGACCGATATTCTCGTTATAAACTTAGTCTTTAGCGCACTCAGTTTGCATCATAGTTCATCCACACTCTCACCACCTCACCCTGTAGGTCATACAAACAGGAAACGATTTCTGCCCTTCCAAAGATAGTATCTCTTCACTTATCAGTATGTGTTTGACTAGAGCATTGTTCAGAATAAACACGTCTCTTAAAAAATTTATCGGTTAGCTACTTTCGTAGTCAGATTGAAAGATGTCATCCACTATATGATTACACTCTCTTATCACAGTATCACCCTCTACCTTTTCTCTCTCAGAGTAAAACCAAAATATTATCCTATTATTTTTCCCTTTGTTTCAGATTTGTCTACATTGCGAGATTAGCACCTGAACTAGCTGACAAACAAGAATTGGAAGTTTATTATGAAAATCTGTTCAACAACTTAAAAGTAAGTAAAACATATGTATAGAAGTCCAATGTTTAATTTTGTAGATGAGAAAGCCGAAAGATTGCTTAACTAAACCTCAATGCCAGGGGTTTGCAACATTTCTCGTCGGTGGGCCATATTACCAACTTGTGACATACAGCTGGGCTACACAAAAAATTCGTTCTTTCATGTACACAACGAATTAAAAAACGAGAATATCGGTCAGAGACCGAAGACTTATCCATCGAAAGTTAGGGGATCCCCCAAAACAGCGCTTTTACTCCATAGTGACACCTTGTGCCCCATCACTAATTAATTAATAACTTGCTAATAATACAACTTAATTCATCCAAAATCGAAATAGGCTTTTGGTTCGAGATATGATGAATGCACATGCAAAATCTGGAGCAGATTCAATGTCGCTTTCGTGAGATATCGCGCGCATCTAACAGACAAACGGACAAATACCTATCAACATACTTACTGATTAAAATCGATAAGTAATAAGCAACAACCAGTGTGCTGGAGGAAAGGCAATATAAGAGAATGAAGCTATCGCTTACCTTCCACCAGGCAAAACGGCAATTTAGTGCATCGCAGCAATATATAGCAGCTGGGTTTTCCATATTCACAAAGAATTAAAATATTAGAGGCAACCAGAGTGCCTCAGGAAAGGCAGTAGAATTCGGTTAATGCTTACACTTTCAGTGATGAAGGCATTGGGCAAAATGGCCAAAGATTCAACGCAGCAACTAAAGCAAAAATCAATTTGCATTTTCAACCATTTGAGTACCTTTTTAAATGTAAACTGTCGGATTAATTCTGTTTCCATCTGCTATGTGCTCAACAGGCACATTCGGTCATACACCTACTTGCTTGCAAAATTTACCCTGTTTGCAGGTTAACCTTAAGAGTAAATTGCCCATGGTTGAGGACCTAGCTAACGGGTGTCCATAAAGTCCCTTCACAATTCCAATTTTGTTATAAAGTCAGTTTTCAATATATCTTAACCAGGTTTGTTATATATTCACTTTATTTAATACATCTTTGAGGGCCAAAACAATATTTGGTATTGATAAATTTCCTTTACAATTTTGAAAATTTTTAAGATTATATGGACACCCTATTTATCATAACAGGACGATTGAGGTATATTTTTTTTTTATTTAATATTAAATAATTGTTCCTACAGCACCAGCATCAAGGTGAAGATGCCACTGGAATTCTACTCGTTTATCCAAGTTATGTTGTTCATCTGATCGAGTCATCCATAGAAATGGTCCACGGTGTCATCAGAGACCTTCAAAAAATGTCTTCGAAGGGGAACGCTCTTCTTGTTGACCCGAAAATCCTTCTAATAAGCCATGATGTACCGACAAGGTGAGCAAATAATAATATGTTCATAATTCGCTAAATAAAATTTTTTCCATAAGAATGACAAAAGTCCTCCCTTGAGATAAATCCTTTCCCACAATATTAGTGATTAAAGCGTTGCAATCATCACGTAGGAAATGCAGATTTGGATCAGACCACAGACTACTACCCCACCTAGGGTTGTGCGGTACATTGGGCAAACAATGTCGATCCAGAAATGTTTAGTTCTTCTGAAAATAGTGCTCGCCGCGTCTCATTGGCCGCCTATTTAGAGCTTTGTTTAAATGACAAGTGTGAAATATAATGCATTTTTACTTACCATTGTATATGTGTATTCTTTGGCGCTCCCGTAGTATGTGCCGGAACGTAGTATGTGTACCAGGTTAGGGTTAGGCCATAATTTTATTCCAATTTTCCTTATTTTAGTTCTATTACGAGCCAAGTGACTACCGTAGTATTTGTACCTGAAATAATGGCCTAACCTTAACCTGATACATATACTACGATCCGGGGTACGCCATCTTCTTGCACATACTACGGGAGTACCTATTCTTTTATTTAACACTCACTCAGTACAGGTGGTCAGCGTCAGTAAGTTTCTGTTAATTTCAGTAAATTTCAAATTTCATAGGTTTTGTCAATATGCTGTGAGTTCCACATATTGTTAAATATCCTTGCTTGCTTGTACAGGGTTTCGTTCATAGCAGTATTAGCTGAGAGCATGATATAAAAAAGTAGATATGCAGACAATATAAATTCTTATATTTATATAACTTTGAAATGTTACAGTACAATACACACCCAATATAGGGAGGTCAATCAGCCCTCCAACATGATATATTCCATTGTTTTGTACACATTCAATACAATGCAACACTTGTATCAAAATCCCTGCCGCGTTGTTGTATGTAGCGAACCTTTGTTTTTATGGCTCCATTGTGACCTATGTGGTCTTATTGTTTTATCACAAACGAGAAAATGTGATATAGGATATTTTACCGGCACCGTGTGAATATAGGTGAATGAAATGATAAATTAGTAAATGATATTGAATATAAAGATAGTTGAAATAAATATAAAAAGGAAGTTGAGAATTGAAGACCTTGATTTGGAAAAATAATTATTTGGTTATTTCTGTCAAAATTTCGTGAAACTGGGGTTCTAGTCAAAATTTCATCTCGAATTAATCAGAAAATGTTTGTCAAGGCTAAGAAAAATTCTCTTGTCCATTTACCAGTTCATGTTAGGTGTGGGGATTTCTAATCCATCATATGGTTTTAACATAGAGGGAAGGATAAATCAACTAATCTTAAGATACTCATGATTCAGTATGGGGTACATATGAAATGAGCTTTTTTTTTCTTTATGTGAGTCTGTTCCAAATACTTAACCTGGCTATATCAGATAAGCATTTTCATTCATACTGTATTAAAATATTGTAATGCAATGGAGGATCGCTAAGCTTTTTTGCCGTTGTACAATACAGCTTCCTCTACATTAAGTTCATACATCTGAGACAAATACCTGGCATTCTCATAGCTGTCCTGAATTGATAATCCGACGAGAGACTGAGATGAGCCTTACCACTGGTACTGGGCACTTTTAGGCGGAGCGCTATCTTGTTTTTTTTCGTCTGTTCTTTATTGAAGCCATTGAAGATTCTGAAATCATCAGGAATTCGAAAATGCCAAGCCCAACTGACTCATATTTTCAATTTTCCTCAGACTATACCAGCAATGGACGTACCGTGTGCTCAATATCACAGCAAGTGGTGAGGGGTACGAACAAGGCAAACAAAGTGTGGAATCTCTAGCTGTTGAATGTGTCACCACGTTACTCAAATTCGGAGTCTTTATTTTGAAATCACCAAAGTTCAATGTAAGTATATTCATAAAGCCGGCAGGATATCTAAAACATGTGGCAATTGCGCACACTTTATCAAACATTGGTTCTTCAAATTAAGGTTTATATTTGGTTACTTTGGCTCTCACCCTTCACTGAGATTTATGTTTACCACTGAAATATTCAGGCTGTCGGAAGTTTGGCATATTTTTGATTGAGTCGTAGTATGTGTTTTTTAACTTTCAGAAATTAGTCAGTATTTTCCACAGAAAAAAAAGGGAATCAAGTTTTTTGATCTCAACACCCCAGGCCCAGGGTGTAATAAATTGGCTAGGCCAGTGATTCTCAAACTTCTTGGTAATGCGACGCCCTCCAAAAAATATGGCCAAGCTGCGACTCCCCGTGAAAAACGTCTGGATACCTTTCAATAAGAGACCTCTTTTACAATGAGTTTTATTTAAATTATGCCTGAAGAGAACTGCCGTGGTGTAAATATTCAATATCTGTTTAGGTCAATGCGCAGACGAAGTGCTGAACGTTGCTCAACAACGCTTGATGTGCCCATGTTCATGAAATTAGAAATGAACAACATGCATGGCTCGATCTGATCCAGCCTGTTTGATGTCATAATTAGAACAGTATTGAATGATCCGTGGCGTTTGTGAGGTCACAAATAGATAAGGTCAATCGTTTTGAAAATTAATATATTGCCAATTCTAGTTCTCAAGTATGATTCAAACGAGAATAACAAAAATTTTGACTTTTTCTACGCACCACGGGTCAAAATCGGCAAAAAAAGAAAAGTTTCGTGACGCCCTATCAAAATTGAAACAACGCACTTGGGCGTCGCGACTCCCAGTTTGAGAACCACGGGACTAGGCCATTGGTTCTCAACCCTTTTTCTCGTGCGGCCTACTTTCGTTGCACAAAAATTCTGTGGCCCATCAACTTTCTCATGCAAGGGGAAAAACTATACGAAAAACATGAAATTCTTCCCACAAAAAATTTGACACTTTCGCATTTTTACTCAAAATTAAAATTACCACTCAATTTCCAAAAACAAAATCATTCATCATTGCTATTTCAATCAAATTATACCTATTCATCAATAACTACAGCAATTTTTAATAAGTTTATGGCCCGCCTGGAAATGTTCCTGTGGCCCAACAGTGGGTCATAGCCCGCTTGTTGAATGGGCCAGGCAATGCCGAACAGAAAAGATCCTATTTATTACAATATATACGGTAGTATCTTCTTAGCGGTGGTTGCTCGCAGAGCCTTATTCAGAGTGGAAGACGTTGGGAATGTTGTATAAACAGGGTTTTCCAAACTGGGGCCGCAGACCTCTGGGGGTCCGTGATGACTGCGCAGATGGTCAACAACAATATGAAAAGAGTTTGAGCGATCTTTATGTATTGATTCCAATCAAATATCTATTGCTGTCAGAAAGGGTGATTAAAATTTAAGGGCTCTTGAAACGACCTACATGTTTGAGGCAGCATTTTAGTCTCTTACCAATATGATGAAAAAATTCAGGTCGGAACAAAAAAACAAAAACAAGAATTTAGTAAATGACTTTGTCATGCCAAACCGTTTTACGTTTTACTATGGAAAATCTGACAATTTAATATGTATTCCAGCTGAAAACTTCAAAAGAAAATCTTCACGAAACAGTACCAGACCTTCTGATTCCACAAGACTTGATTGGATTCCTTCTCAACCAGTCGGAACTGGATACACCCAGTCAATTCATCCGCAGATACGACCAGCCTGTTGATATAACACTAGATGGCGAACTTGTCTGGCCAATACAGGAATCAATCGCTTTCAAACAATTACTTACGGACACTGCGACTTTAACTGCGCAAACTTGAAGCATTCATTTTGATTAAAAACTATCGCATCCGTTTTCGTATCGCATGTTTTTTCTAAAATACTGATTGTCCCCAAGGATCAATTGATAGACTTTTGCAGAATTTTATAATAAGTTTTTTTACGTTTTTATTCAAAATTTTTAATGTCACCGACCGGACTATTTGTTTCTTTAATATAAATAAATATGAATTGCAGCACTCAAGTTTTTTTCCTTATTTTTATGAAAGATCCTTCTGATGTCACCAACCGGATTCACTCTATTTTGTTTCTCCAATATAAATTGCAGCATTCAAGTTTTTTTCGTATTTTTCTGAAAAACTCATTTTCACCTTCTACAAAAGTTTCGATTGAACAGCTTTTGCAGAATTTATACAGAATTTTTTTTTAAACTTCTCATAAATTCTTGATGCTTCCCGAAATTCTATTTTATTCTTCCAATATAAATGCAGCATTCAAAATGTCTTTAAGCTTTTAATTAAAATGTGTTTGTAGCATTTGTGATTACACACTTTTCTAAAATTTTAGGGATTCAATGTCCTATCTCAGTGGTTCTCAAACTTTTTGAACCACGCTACCTTTTTAAAATTTGTCAAGAAGTCTCACGCCCACCTCAAAAATAAGCTACAAATAAATATAGTCTGGCGAAAATAAGTTTCATGTAAAAACATGTAGCAAATACGTGGATGGGATCACAATCTCTAAACAATCAAGAAATATAGTTATCCAAAATAAGGCGGGCAAACATCAAATTTAACTTCACTTCCTCTTCACGCCCCTCAAAACGCCCTTGTGGAGAGTTTTTTTTAACTTTGCTTTGTTTGTTTGTTTGTTTGTTTGGAGGAGATAGATGTATGCACAAAGCCATACTGCCCTAAAACAGGGTTTCCCACACCTTTTAGCCGCGAAGGCACGAACCCGCTTGTGTATATAAATTACTGTGCCTAACCAACGAGGTCTGCTTCACAGACTTTAATAGCAAGGATCGCCGTAACAACTATCTTTCTTATTATTAAGGTTTCATAACAATTTAGGCCTACGACCCACGATCTTTTTGAATTAATACACCTTTAAGCTAGATGAGAAACACAATTTCTAGCAAGACACACAAATTTATTAAAACAGAAATATTAAAATTAATGCATGTTATGTATGTACTTATTTATTATATGCTTCTTTGTGAGTGGAAGATCGCACATAGTTAAAAAATAGACCTTGCTAAAAACTGGGGAATTGTATGCATGAATGAAAGCGTTCAGTCAGGGCTTGATATCAGATTATTAAAAGTTTGTGTCAAAGGCGAAGGAGAGTAGAGATTCTGAAGTCTGAATTACATGCTTGAAAAACTGTTGAGCATGAAAAAAAATTTCAAAATTTTATACGTCACATCACATAAATAGCAACTTGGAGTCAATTTTAACCAAAATTGATAAAAAGTTTATAAATTACCCAAAATCAATATTTTATTATCACATAAGTTAGAAGTGTGATTTCTCGAAATGGAACTTTTGTCAAAAAGAGTTTGTTCTCAACATAAATAATAGGCTGGGTTTTATAACACTATTTTTTGCATTTTTATAAAAGTAGCATTTGGTATTGGAATTGATTTTTGACAGCTTGAAGTCAAAAACAGACTACCTCACTCAGACAACTTAGTGTAATACAATACTCAACACAAATTATAAAGTCTTAAATTTTACTGGGTCTTGTTAAAATTGGATTACACTTACAATACTTTAAAAAAAAGTTTCAATTTCCTCCAGTTTTTAGCAAGACATGAAAAATTATGGCTTCTTTGTGCATGAACTAAAAAAGATGCTAAAATGGTAAAAATTTGTAGTTACAAAAGTTACAAAATTGAAGAAAATAGTACATAAGAGGGTTAAAAGGAACGTTAAAGAGTTAAATTATGTGAAGACTAATTAATTAGTTATTAAATCAATTCTAGAAAAAATAAAATCAAAGTATGTATATATGTACAAATGGATCATGAAATATAGGAAAAAATATGCATTTTGGGGCTCTGTGAGACCATAGACCAACTGAGCTCTATGTATTGTGTTGTTAACCCTCTGAAAAGAAGCACAATTATTTGAAGTATGCAGCAAGCCCTTAGACAACAAAAATGACTTGAGACAATTCTTTTTATCCTTTTCGTTATGCGAAAGTTTCCTGGGCATTTAAGCCAAATTAAAATCTGAAATTAGGAGCAAAAAAGTATTCAAAAACCTTTATCGAATGGTTTGAAGAGATATACTATAAAATTTAGTCATTTATTAAATGTTTAAAATCTGCCAAGAGTGGTATAAAAGGGTTGCGCTGAACTCAGCTATAAACGACATATGAAAAAGACATTTTGTATTATGAAAAAACATCAAAATAGTGTTTATTATAAAATATTATCAAACGGAGTAAAAATGAAAAGTATTAATCATTTAAATGTTCAAAGCTACAAGAAGAATGAGTAGGGTTCTGTGAAACTTAACTACAAACGACACGTAAAAAGACATTTTGAAAGAAAAACATGAAAGTTTGAAAACGTGTAATTATTAGGTACTAGAACATGCACCTCAAAATTGGAACAATTTGGAATCAATTAATTTCAATGTAATATAAAATTAGTCATGGAACCATTTTGTCAATGCAACATGGCAAGCATGATGTAATTGCTGAGAAGTTGAAGATCAGCAGGCAAGTACTTGGGCAGCCATGGGTAGGAAGGATTACCATATTTATCCCGAAAAAAAGCGTTGAAGCAGTTATCAATAGGTCATTAATCTTAAAATACGATAAGACCCATTTTGTCAACAGGGCAAGCATGTTGTATACGCTAAAAGTTTGAAGTTCAGCAGGCAAGTACTTTAGCAGCCATGGATAGGAAGGATTTATCTTAGAAAAGGCGTTGAAACAGTTATCAATAGTTCCATTCCATTCTTAAAATATGATGAGATGCATCTTTTCATAGGGCCAAGCATGATGTATATGCTGAGGAGTTATAGTTCAGCAGGCAAATACTTAAGCAGTCATGGGTAAGAAGAATTTTCAAATTTCTTCTGGAAGGAAATATTGCAGCTGCTGCTGATAGTTTTTACATATTAGACTTCTGAAATAATATGTCGATATGCCGCACATAACACCATTGATACTAGGTACAGCAGGGGTGGGCAGATAAGGGACTGTGGGCCGGGTCCGTAATTTCAGTAGGCACAAGAAGGCCTACTGAAATTACGACTATAGTTTTATGAATATAAATTTCCGGCACAATGACACAGATTGTTACATTGTGTTGTTCTTGTTATTATGTAAACGTTAGTCTAGTTTTTGTAAATTAACTGTTTTTTATTCATAGTTTTTCATATTAAGTTTTGATGCTTTGGCCCAACCAGGTCTATCACCTGTAACTGGCCCACTCAGAAAAGTAATCCCCTCCCCCCCCACCCCTGAAGTACAGTGGAATAGGCCAGATGCATTCTAAAAAGCACACCTAATGTCTATGCATCATAACTACCAAGATATGAAAAACAATCAAGTAATCTTTACAGGCAAGTATTTGAACATGTTGGATTTACCTCATAGGATAGCAAACCCAAAATGATGTTTATGGCATCTAAGTGGTCACAAAAATGAATCACACAAAGAAATAAATACTTAAGTGAGAAGTAGAAGGATAAAAATAAACTAACATGGACAAGTATTGGGAACTGGTTGCATTTTTGAATCATTACCCTGTTGGTTGAGTTAATAAGATGGGTGTGTGTGAAACTATAGCCTTTTATCAGTCACTAGAGTAGGTCAGGTAAAAAGTAATTGATAATTGAAATGCGAAAAAAATTTCTGATAATTAGCAGGCAAGCTTGTGAGCAGCTGATATAATCTTTTTGATCTTCATAGCCGAATCTCAAAGTCAAGGAAATACAAAAGCAATTTATGAAGAGTAAAAGAGCGTTACTTCATACAATTTGTACAACTTTCTTGAATAAAAAATGGAGGCAAGCTCCTGAGAAGCTGATATGATTTTTAAAAATCCCATTGTAGGATCATCCATCAGGAGAATGCAATATTAATTTATAAAGATTTAAAGCCAAAAAGTGGGGTCTTGTGTAGTTTAAATAACTTGGGTGCAGCTCAACAATTTTTGCATATGACATTCCTAACCTTCATCTGACTATGTCATCTAAAACAGGGGTGTCAAACTCGCGGCCCCAGAGAACTTCCAATGCGGCCCTCGAACGCTTAACAATTATTGTAATATTTTTTTTATCTAAATATAGATATATATTACATTTTTCGAAGTGAAATTGATGCCACGTAATGGTAGGAAATGTCGCGAATTGTGGTGGGAAATGTCTGGTCCGAAAAGTCAGTCATTTGCTTGTTCACTGATCTATACATGAAATGATAAACGTAATATTTTTGCTTTACTGAAATTAATCAAACATTCTCAACGATCCAGAGTAACCGATGATCATGTGACCTCGTTAATTAGAGTTGCTACTGTAAAATCATTTCAGCCTGATATTAGTAAGCTGGTGGCACACAAGAGATGCCAAACGTCGGGACATGTGTAATAAAAAAAAACACTGAGTTTATTCTTTAGTTAGTATTTTTGTAAATTTTAAGTTTATATATTTAGATTAAGTCATTTTTAGTGTAGGTATTATTCTTTCTTTATCAAAACTTTGTTCAAAAATGATTTGGATAGTTGTACATAAAAATTTATGGTTTTTATTTATGATATTTATGATAAATACAGTAAATTGAAGTAATAGTGAAATGGAAAAATTAATATGTAAATGGCATTTAAAATTCAAAAAAATAACAAAACTTTATTCGGCTGTTTAATTGCATCACAATATATGTCACAAACTAGACCTGTCTAAAAATATACTCCAAGTATACATTATTAAATATTTACCAGAAAATGTTTGCGGCCCTTCGAACAATTCCAAAAATGCAATGCGGCCCACGAGAACCCACGAGTTTGACACCCCTGATCTAAAATTACAATCGCAAAATATATGGACGGACGTCCAAAACGTGCAGGCGATCACCCGAAATCGAGCAAGCTATTTCTCACATTTTCTCGTCGTAACGATCCCAATATGAGTGAGATCGCTGGCGTTAGTGGGTTTGTTATCGTTGGCACAGATGCCATTTCGAGTGATCGTAGTGATACTTTGGCAAGATATATGACATTGTTGTGACGTCGAAGTGACGTAAATTGTAGATGACGTAGTCAGGAAGATTACATAATCTAAGTAAATATGGTTATGACAAGCCCATTGGAAGTACTTGTGGTACTAAACTATACTAGACCCAAAAATGGGTGCTCCCGAAGTATGCGAACCAAGATGGCGGACATCGGAACGTAACATGGGTAACAGGTTAGGGTTAGGCGATAATTTTTTTCCAATTTTCCTTATTTTAGTCCTATTATCATTTCGAAGACTAGCCAAGAGCCTCCCGTAGTATTTATACCTAAAATTATGGACCAACCCTAACCTAGTACACATATTACATTCCGATGTCCGCCATCTTGGTTCGCATACTTCGGGAGCCCCCAAAAATGTCTGCAAATTAAATAAAAAAGTTTTATTTCAATGTACACAGGTATGAACAATTTGTGTTCAATAATTGTTGACCATGAGTGTGATTATACAATGATAAGGCAAGACAAACAGCAAAGTAAAACAGGGATATTCCGTTTTATAATCAAGTCAAATTTTGTTTATGAAATGTCATGTTTGATTGATCACTGGGCAAGAGTATCTCATATATTGAGATAGCAATATACATGGCAGAATGTACAGTATTATTAAATAACAATGTCATTATAATAATGTGAAGACTTGTTTTACAACTTTCAAATATTTATGCGGTACAGCTACATTTTAAATGAGGAAATTAAAAAAAAAAGGATCGAAGCCCCATAGCCCTGGGTTCAAATAATAGAGGAAATATTTCACATCTCAGAATGTCTGTGGACATCAAAACGAATGGAACAATCTACAACAAAATAGAACATTTTGTCGCAGTTTCCCTATATCTATCTGCATATTTTCCATAGTTTTACTGTTGTAAATTCCTTATTTCTTTAATACCGGGATCCTACTTCGTTTCCTGGGCGTCAATGCCTCAGGTTTCAATGATTCAGCAGAACAGTAACGATGACCTGTCAGTTTCTTGTAAGTGTAGGCTCTGGAAAAAAGATTGAGGTAAGAATCATGAATATAATATTCAGATTGGTTTTTAAATTTGTGCATTGGGTATCTAAATTATTAATTCAATTTCACCACTCATTTCAACATTTTTTTATTATTAGACTTGCCAATATATTCGTGCTCATGATTGAGGCTGTCAGGAGGCTGTTTAACTCTGTGCATGGAAGTTAGTTTTGGACAAAATGGAGTAAAGTCTCATTGACTAACCTCCACAGTTTAAATATTGTCTTCTTCATGTCATGGTTCATTTGTTCTGCCGCCTCATTGGTTGATTTTTTAGTCACATGTTCAAGTCTCCACCAATGCCAGTACTTTCTCAATGTCCAGTGATAGTCCTACAAAATGAATATTTCAAATATGCTTAATCGATTGTTGAGACAAGCACACAATCACATGCAGCAATCACCCCTAATAATGCCAATAACAAAAAGAATCTAGTTTTGTGCCTGCAACAACTAGAAAGCCTAATGTTAAATAAAGGTGCTACTGGTGGTTTCATCCAGTTATTTGTATCGGGTCCTCCTGTACCCACCTGTATTAAAGGTAGCACACCACTACACCACTGATATGGATTATTGTAATTATTTCTAATCTTCTTGAAACCCGGGAGTTACAAAAGATGGTTCCAACTCCTCAGAGCCAGAATAATTTAAGATGTCTAATTGTTCACCTGGGTCAAAATTGTGAACAGAAACTAGAAAAGCATTCTCGACATACCACTACAAATACTTGTAAAATTTTTTTTATCAAAATTTGGTTCTCTCAGAAATAGGTGGCATGGCCGTGGCGTAATCAGGAGTTTTCAAAGGTGGGGTTTTGAGATTTCTAATTACCACTAGTTAGACCGCTTCCACTAGCGGGTCCTACAAGAGGCCAGAAAGTGTGTATTTTCAAGAGTTTTAAGGGTCTTAAAGGCGTTCCGAGGTACGAAAAATTACCATGTATGACACAGAAAAATACTTTTTCTTACATTACATTCCCTTCGGGGAGGAGGGGGGTTCGGAGCCTCAAAAACCCCCTTTGCTATAACCCTGGGAGGTGGAGTGTAAAATGGACTAAACCAAGTTTCCAACCCAGATTTAAAAATGTCAGGTTCAAATCCTATGTGTGAGGTGTTACATAATTGGTAGGCAATTAGGAACCAGTAAGATTCTGATTTCAAACTACAGTGGCTCCGTATTTCTGCCTGGAAACTTGAATTTTTCAAAATGGCCGAGTATTACCTGTGATGTCATCATTTACAGGATCATGACCAACAAGTTGTGAATGTGAAATAATCATGTGCTCTCGGTACTTGAGAGCTCATTTCTGTTGGTGTATACAATACAGAGTCTTGTTTATAGTGGAGATTTATAAAAACTCACACAAAAAGCTTACCATTTCCACAGCACAGATGATCATTGCTGTTTTACTTGACCAGAGATACCAACATCTTTCCAAGAGTTTTTGTCGTTTCTTCCTTGAAAATTGGTTCACCTTAATATTAAAGATGGGGAAGTTTAGAGCAAACTTGGCAGGCTATATCTTCATGTATTTGGAACGAATAATTATTGATATTTATCAGGATAGGATTTACATATTTATCCAGGGGGAGAGGAAAGGCGATAAGACGGCCTAACCATATGGCAAAACACGGCCTCTCGTCCGGTTACCAGTCCAGGTTGGGTATGGGATTAATTAGCCAGTTATTTGTTTTCGGAAGCCCGTTAGGACGTCACGAAGTTACGTGAACCACCCTACGGCGGCGAGGAGTCCAGCAATCCTCTCGCACATGATCATCCCTGCATGGGATTCGAACCTGCAATCCCACGAAGGGTAATCCGAGATGTGGTGGCGAGCGTAATCCTAGTGCTCAGCACGATGCGCCACACCGCCGAGCCGATTATTATAATAAACACAATAATACCATAATGCCATAAGATCTATACCAATCTCTTTTTGTGCAACATAGGCTTTTTGTGAATTGTTTTGGACTCTTGCCCCCTTTTTAACGCTAAATTTTAGTTGGACTGGGTATGCTCCTACCGGAACAAGCATGATCTGATTCTAACAGACTTTGTGAAATGAAATTAAAAGACGTATGACTAATATATAAGAAAATTATTAGCCCGTTGAGCATAAAATATAGATTAATATTTTTTTATACTTTCTATGTCAACGCATAATATGCACCCCCCTATTCTCAAGGCGAAATGTAAACTTGGAAATGCGTATTATACATGGAGAATTAAGGTATATTCGATATTGAAAAATATTATTTTAAAATGTATTCAGCATTGGTATTCAGTATTGGTTTCAGCCATCCTTAATTAAGACATAAAAAAAATACCTGATATTTTCCTTTCCATTTGGAAAAGGACCGATTCCAAATCCACTTTTGTTCGAATCTTCCAACCATGACGTTTCTCTCTTCTCTGATTCGTTGTTTCTCTACACGGTCTGCTGCATATCTTCTCCATTTTGTAATCACATCGAAAGCTAAATCTCGTTCATGCCTTCTTTGTAAATCTCTCTGTAGGGCAATTTAATAAAAGAGGATTAAATGAGGTTGTTACATCAAATCTTTACACAGTTATATAAAGCAGGGGCAACCAAGCGTTAGGGATACGCTTGCAATCGCAATTCTTATTACTTTGCATGAATTCGCAGGCTCGAATCTTGCGAGAGACAATTATGTGCAAGAGGATTACTAGACTTCTCGCCACCGTGGAGTGGTTCATGTAACTGCTGGTCCTGCTTCTCTCAAACAAATGACTCGCCAACTAATTCCAACAGGGACCGGTAACCGGACAAGAGTCCATGGTTCACCATATAATTAAACCGTCCCATCGGTTTTCCTCTCCCCTGGGAAAAAATGCAAATCCTAAATCTTTGGAGAATAAATGTTGAGAAACGCTGGTTAACCCTTTCCATGCGATTTTTATTTTTTATTAAATAATCGTATTTGCTACGCCGATTTTATGCATTTGTACCCCCACAACTAATCGATCGACTAACGAAAAACTAATGATCTTCTGCTGCCCACTGACGGCTCGGCTCGTTGGAAAGCCTATTCAAAGAGCTTGCAATTAGCAATTGAAAAATTTTTTTTTAAAAGTGGTGGTCTGAGTCACAAACCGGATAGAAAAAAGGCCTTCTTTTTTTTTGGGAGTTGAAACTTCAAACCGTGATAAAAAATAGAAATATTCGCTAAATCCCTAACTGTTACCGCTTCGTGGTTGGCAAACAATAGCATAATGTCGCTTATGTTAATCTCGAAGAAGACTTCTTATCAATAAACTAAAACCCGGAAAAACTAGACCAACAGTTTGCGACCGATTGCTAAATAAAACAATGGGTAACTTAAAGTACCCGCCGCGATCTAGCGAGTTTTGTCGTTGGTACGTATACGTGCCCACCGCACGGTAAAGGTTAAATAGAATTGAATGAACTCTGTTCCGTCCTCTTCCACTTGACAAATTTTAGAATAATTTACAAGTTACAGATTTACATCAAGTTAACAACCCAAACCTACATTTTCTTTAGCTTTGAACCATTTCTTCCAAGATGATTTCAACATTTTGTTGCTCTTTACCTCCATCATGCGGTCACAAGTAACTTCGAGCATTCTGACTTTGCGGAACATGGATTTCCATTGAGTGAAGTAAAACTAAATGACAGGCATGGTTGGTATGGTTGACCGGTATCTTGCTAAGCCTTTAGCATACTCTTGCCATAGTAATTCTTTAGGAACACGTACCTTCAACATCAATGTCTCCACTATCTGAACTGCTTGGCTATAACATTTCTTCAGTCTGATGCTTTCTGTTTTCCATATCTTAAGACTGAAAAAGAATAATTTATATTCTATTATAATTGATGAACTAGATTTGTGGTTCGCAAACTTTTTTTATTTGGTTGAATATTAAGAATTATAATCTACTGACATAATACCGGAGTTCGAGGCCCTAATACCCACATCATGCTGAAGAAAAGCGCGGCGGTGTGGCTCAACAGGCCAAGCGTTAGGAATACGCTCGCCACCGCACCTCTAATCACTCTGCGTGGGTTCGAATCCCATGCAGGGATGGTTATGTGCGAGAGGATTGCTGACTTCCTCGCCATCGTTGGTTGGTTCACGTAACGCTGGTCGGTTACAGCTTCCTCCACCACCAAGTCCATGCTTCCGAAAACAAACAATATAACTAATCCCATAGACTTGGAATGGTAACCGGTGGTTCGCCATATGGATAAGCCGTCTTTCCGCCTTTCCTCTCCCCCAGGATAAATATGTAAATCCTATCCTATCCTAAAGAATCGTCGATTTCAACAAATTTAACCTTCGAGAATTCACAATCTCAATCCTGGAGGGGGCGGGGCGATATGGCCCACTTTGAGAATCGATGGCCAAGTGATGAAAACGTTGAATCTAACGATGTTAGCATAGTTGGTTAAATATCTCATATCGTTTGACTTGTCTAATGTGCATCACAACCACAATTCAAATCCTATAACCTCACTCAGGTTGTAACAATGTGGTTAGGCAATACCGAATCGGTAAAATTCTGGCTCTTCCTTGCACTTGTATTACAATAATGGTAAACCAGTCAGTCAGTAGTTTATTTTATCAGACGCCTAAAGTACACATTGGACAAACATAATTAGGAAAAATGAAAAAAAATGCATTTCATTGTGAAGGGAGACCAATGAGTGAATCTAACATAAATCATACTGAGGAAAAAGTGAACTGACTTAACCAGTCACTCTTTCATGATTGACTTGCACCATATTTACTTTATATTTCCTAAATTGATTCCATTCAACAAGTCATGAAGATAGTCATCTAATTCTTATTTTTAATATTTTATTAACGTTATCTGTTTATCAATAAATCAACACGGTCTCGTTGACACGGTGACTCTGGCAGTCTTTTGCGGCTCCTAGTCAATTGCGAAATATTTTATGCTTCAGTATTCAATTGATTTTGTCATTATATTTGTTTGTGTACAACATTTCCTGCATAAAACTTCTGAGTTCTGAGTCGAACATAGAATGCTAACAAAATCCGGACTTTGAGACACATTTAAGCGATCCGATATCCTGGCGTCACTCTAGTTGATGGCAGAAGACTACAGACACGACAGGCCAGGGTAACCATGGCAACCGCAATTCATTGAATAGCAAACGGTAGAGTACCGGTAGTTATTCCACGGCTGTAGTAGGTAAAAAAGTCATAAATATTGCCAAATATGAGGCACATCCATCCCCAAAAACAGTAGAATTCGCCTCAAACATTAGAAATTTTTTACCTGTTGAACGCCTTCTTTTTCATTTTATTTTCCGCAAATTTACAAGCGATTTTGTTGTTTTTATAACTTTTCAGCCAGACCATAAACGTCGTTATTGTCATAATTTTATTTCTTGATTCCTCCAAATCAGAAACAACTCTTCTCTCATTCCTAAGTGTTGAACTACAAGTCCACCATGTTGTGAGAATCTGAATCGCAGAATCTTGAATTAATTTCAATTTTTGAGAGGTGGCGGTGATAAAAAAGAGACCATTTATCAAAGATTCAAAATAACTTGAATAAGAGATTTGATTTTACTGAATGATTTAAAATATTTCACTGTGCGCCTAGTTTTTTTTCCTGTGCTTGCCAAGTTACACCTCAATTCATAGGTATAAATACAGAAATGTTTATTAGGTTTCTTTTGTTAAAGACAAAAATAATCAATTTTTAATCAATAATAATATTATTAAAGCCTATTTCCAATGTATCTGTATTTTAAAAAAATTAAATAGAATATATGTGGGGCATTATAGAATGTATTCAGAATTCCAGATTCGAAAATATTTTTTTAGAATATATTCGAAATAGTCAGTGTTCGGTTATGGCCATTGGCCCTCCAGCACATGAAATAAACCATTTTACCAGACTTAATTTTCTGTCTTGATGTTGCTTGACAAGCCGATCTGCTCTTTTCATTTTCGTGTGTTCAAATTCCCACTTCGTGAAACACTGAAATGCACATTAACACTGTTAGTACCATGCAGCAAGATTCCTAAATTACTTTGAAACTGGAAATATATCTCTGATATAGAATAATCTCAACGAAGAAACTTAAGTCTTACAGCAGCTGTTCCCAGTTCCCAATCGGGGGGGCACAGTGCAGTTGGAGGGGGGCCCAACACTGTCATATGGAACCTTTGTGAGGTCGACCGAAAATTAGCTGCTTTTTCAAATTTTTTTGTGTGGAGGGGTGTATAAAAGATAAAAAGTTTAAACGTATATTATGAATTTTATACCAGAAGATTTTAGGTTTTAAAGCACATTGGAATTAATAATCAGTTTTTCGAAGTATATTTGAAACAACAAAATGATTAATAACTAACACTCTCTTACGCTTACTTTTCTTAAAGAAGACTGCTGGTACAACGCTATAGCATCTCTTTCCCTTTTTCTCGCTTTCCAAGCAGTCCAGTATCTTACTAATAACCGATGTGATACTGCCCTCTTATGGTTATCAATAGCACTTGAATTCTGTAGCCTTAACTGAAGCCGGTACTTCCATCTGAGAATAATATAATATTAAAGAATGGATGTATTGAGATTAAAATCGTAGGATTTTACATATTTATTTTGGGGGAAAGGAGCGCTGATAAGACGGCCTAATCATATGACAAACCACAGTCTCTCGTCCGGTTATCAGTCCATGTTGGGTATGGGATTAGTTAGCCAATCATTTGTTTTCATACTTTATGGACTTGATGGTGGAGTAAGATTCCAGACGTTGGAGATTCCAGCAATCTTTTGCACATAACTATCCCCGCATGAGATTCTGCGAATCCAAGCAGGGTAATCAGGAGTGCAGTTGCGGGGATGTATTGAGATTAAAACAAGAATATCGGTCAGAGACCGAAGACTTATCGATCGAAAGTTAGGGGATCCCCAAAACAGCGCTCTTACTCCATAGTGACACCTTGTGTCCCATCACTAATTCATTATTACCTCGCTAATTATACGACATAATTCGCCAAAATCAATAGGCTACTGGTCCGAAATATGATGAATGCACACGCAAAATCTGCAGCAGATCCAATCTCACTTTCGTGAGATATCGTGTGCATCTAACAGATAAACAGACAGACAGATAAACAGGCAAATACCTATCATCATACTTACCGATTAAAATCGATGAGTAATAATAACTGAAATACATTTGTGTTGGTGGGCAGAAAGATTCTTGAATGTCATAACCTAGTCATTTTTATTCTTGATTGTGATATCAAGTACACCACGAAACAATTATTCCATGCTGAGTACCGATCGTGATTTCAAATCGCAATCTGCTTGCTCAATTTAAATAATTGTGTTTTCATTGTTAAGTCACAATTCATGAAACAATTCAATTTTAAACACATTTATTTATCGCCGTATTTAAACTGCTTGTCTGAGGGAGTCGGATTTCGGTCAGACAAAACGTTACAGAAATAAATTTGTGTTAGTGTGCAGCAAGACACTTGAAATAGCATAGTATGGTCATTTTTATTCCTGCTACAGCCTCTTTGCATTACACATACATTTACACCAGTGCAAAGGCATTGAGGAAAAATTGGGATTTAGGGTCACTAAGACCTACTTGTGCCATGAAAAAGCAAATAGTTCTTTTGTTCTCTGCCTCACAAAATTCATCTGCATTCTCTTGAGTGATTGTTTACGTTTTGTTCGAGAAAGAATTGCAGCAAAACTCTTCCTCAAGATCTTGTTCTTGTAGTGCAGCTTGGCAATCTTATTCTGGCTGTGTGCGATCAACCATGTATTGAATGTGAATTCAATCGTGAAATTACAGGATTTCATTTGAAACTGATCAGCCATGCATGACAGATTCTGACTCCGCACAATCATTTCGTGCCTAAAAACAAAAAATGTTTGCATTGAATAAAAAATATTGAACACAAAAAACTGGCAAAAGTTAACTACGGTACATAACAGATGTCATATAGAATTTTGCGTTGATACTCCAAGTGGTAGTTATAGGATTAGTGAATATGATTATTACAGAGAAAACAGAAAACTTGGCAAATGACCCATAAAACAGTACTTGTTACTAGACATTGGTCACAATCTTCACAAATTCCAGTCAAGAATGACGTCTTTCTGGGGACTTGATAAAGAGGGATTAATCTCATGGCGAACCTCATCCCAGAAAACAAACACTCAGTTTATTCAGAGACTTGATAGTGGAGGAAGCTGTAGCAGACTAGTGCTTACAATAACCATTTTACAATAGCGAGCAACTCAAAAAAGTCTCTGCGCATTATTATCCCCAAAGAATCAGACCTGTATAGGGAAATTACAGAAAGAGCATGTAGGCATAAAAATTAGGCTATATAAAATACCATTTCAATAAAACAGTCCTTGCTTTTTCATCGGAATTTCTCTTCTGTTGCAGGAACTTCTTCCAAGAATTGAATGTTCTTCTTTTTAAAAACAACATGTACGCATGAGATGCTCTGTGAATGAAAGAATAAAAATATGTCTCCATCCACCACTCAGGGTAAAATGCAAAGTAGCGCCAGGAAGTTCCCAAACGAATTAAATATTCCAATACATTTGAAATTGGTTGTTTGATTTAGTAAATTCTTGATTTGGGGATAAATTTAGAATATTTTTATTCAGAAATTAAGAATTTTGAGTCTCTAACTAGCTAACAGCAACTACAGGGTGTCCATAAAATCTCTTTACAATTTCAATTTTGGTGTAAAGTTAGTTCTCAATATATATTAATCAGGTGTGTTGTTTCCTAATCAGTACAGTAATTGTTTAGATATATTCACTTTATACATATGTGAGGGCCAAAACAACATATGGTACCGATGAATTCCCCTTGCAATTTTACCAAATTTTAAGACTTTAGGAAAGCCCTGTAATTCTTGTATAACGCCTAAAATTTTTTTTTTCCAAAAATATGAAGATTCACCTTCATATCTTGAAACCCTTGATAAAGCACTATATTAAGAAAAAAACAACTACCTTTTCAAAGCTACTCTTTCTCTCCATAGACACCATGATCTCCACAGTAGGTTTGAATATCTTTGTTCTCTTGCAGATTCTACTTTTGCTTTCAATGCCAACTCATTCCTCCAGTTTGTCAATGCAGTTCGTTTCTGAATAGGAATAATATTTGAATGCAAGATAGAACTTATCTCTGGAGATGAAAATTGATAACATAAATTTATCACATCTAGCATTATTACTTATGAGATATCTGACCATTTGCTTTTACCTATACAAATAAATCTTGATTGCAAGAAACATAAAATAAAAATACTGTGCCGAAGAATTTGAATACTGTTCAAAGAATTTAAACCTGCAGGTCAGGCAGGGTAATTAGAGGTGCAATGGCGGGTGCATTACAAACATTAAGCATAATGCGCCAATCGCCAATCATGTTTTTTACCTGATTAGTTGCAACAGTTCTTCTCATGGTTTCAATTCTTTGTCTATCAGCTGCCCATGCTATTGTGACATCATTCCACTCATGGATGGCTTTTTTCATCAAAGATCTCCTGTTCATCGTATCAGCTAGTTTTCTTTTAGTAAATTCCAGTCTCCACCGGTCTAAACAGGTTTGGACCGCACTTGACTGGCTCAGACTTGAAATTTTATCAAGTGCAGAATCGTGGTGATGCTTTGCTGTATAAATTAGAAAAGTAAACAAATATCAGTCTCTGAAATGACTTTTAGAGGATTTTCATGCTTTGCTCCAAAGTTGCTATGTTTGTGACAATCAGAAGGCTACCCAATTCATCACATCCTGGATGATGTGCATGGCAACTTTAAATGATTCGGCTATTCAGCAATTAAATTAGTAATTGAGTCCGAAGCAAACATTAAATGAGGTACTGAATCGGAATTCTTGTCATGTCTAAAATTACATCTCTCTAGGTCCATCCTAGGGCTCCTCAAAGTCCTTCGTACGGAGCCCCAAAGCTCAACAAGAGAAATCTAGGGGCTACGCAAACTATTCGTTTACTTATTAAAATAATATTTTTTAAATAAAAGCCGCAAATACATCCTGGTCATTGAATGAAATGATTTTAGTTTGCTCGGGGACATCAATCTTTTAATAACAATGTGTTTTTCGCTTTTATTTTTATAAATTTATTATGGAGCTCCGTAAATAATAGTCAATTTCTTCACGGGCTCCATGACACACCAAAGGTTAGAAGACTGAGGTAACTTAAGAGAGCCTTTAATACAAGGGACTTCGAAACGTTCAAAACAGAGTATAGCAAAATGAGTGATTTTTATGGCATTCCAAAGGAAAATCGGGCAGAAATGAGGAAAAAGAGTTAACCTTTTGCCTTCATTCCTCAAGCCTACATGTTTACAAACTTCAAATGACATAAAGTACACATTAACGATCACAAAGTTGAGTTTTAATTAAAAAACAGCATTCATTTCGTGTGAGTGTGCCATGAGTTTTTTGCACTGATAATTCGGCGTAATGTGTACAAAAAGTTTGGTAACCACTGGTTTAGAACATCAATCCTCATTGCTAAGAATTTTGTTTATTAGTGAAATACAATGCAAACCTGTAGCATATTGGTGCCATCTATCCAATAATGATGAAATCCAGTTCCGAAGAGATCGCTTTCGAATCAATTCCACTTGTTTCATTAAGGAGGTGTGTCTGGAGTAATATGGAATATTCATTAGTAAGTACAGTTATTGATTAAAAAAATAATATAACCTCATTGAATGAAATAGAAATCATATTTGTGATATAAATGAATACAACAATAAGTCATGCGAGAAACTCTTCTAGAGAAGTTAGACTATGATCTAACAATGGCTCACAAATAAGCTATTTTGTGGAAAAGACTATTATGACTTACTTTTTCCATGCAATGAAAATTCTTCTTTTCAGATGGTAAGCCCTCATATCAGATATTCTCATAGAAACTTCAGCTCTCTCAGATGCCCAGCTGCTCCATGCAGTTAAAATCCTGGAATATATTTTGTGATTGAGTTGGGCTCCCAATTAAATCTATTATATGTAATTGACAAGTGTGTGGCAGTGATAGAAGAAGAAAAGCATGATTGAAAAGATCTCAAGTAAAAATATAATGTGTCTTCTTTACTTCTGAGTGAGCTCATATAACTTTACTCAGAGATGAGTTTCCTTCACCTTTGAGTGAGCACCTGTATATTTGCTCAGACATGAGTCTCCTTTACTTCTGAGTGAGTGCCTGTAACCTTGCTCAGAGATGAGTCTCCTTCACTTCTGAGTGAGTAACTAACTTTACTCAAGAGTTTCCCGTAACTTTGTTTAGACATGAGAGAGTTAATTTCATTTTGTCAAACCAAGAAAACAATATATGCATACATACATACACAACAAATAAACAGATGTTTTCGGTACATGACTGGGAGGCAACAATACGACCATTGGAGGTCATCAGGAGGTCATGAGTTTCCTTCCTTTCTGAGTCAGTGCCTGTAACTTTGCTCAGCAGAGATAAGTTTCCTTTACTTCTGTGGGTAACTTGCTATGAGAAATATTCTTGAGTGCACGTCACCCTGATCTGAAAAAATCCTCATCAAAAAAGAACCCAACTTACCCTCCTAATAAAGTCTTTCTTCTGTGTTGATCGGACAAAGCAATTTGCCTGTATTTCAGTCTCCATCTTTCAAAACAATTAGACAATAACTCAGAGTTCAATCTATGTTGAGTTCTTTCATCTTTCATCCGAGGTGAATTGTGTTGTTTTGTTCTGGTTTGCCAATATTTGAGAATTTCTGTAAACAAAAAATATGAATAAAAAATATTTTTGATTTGAGATTAGTGTCTCGCTGGGCTCGTTTATTTCTTACTTCAGCCTAGAGATTTCCACAGAGGCTTGGATGTTATAACTAACAGTACATAGTGCTCGTATAAAAATGGTATTTGACAGTATTTATTTTATTTTTTCTTATTTATATTCAACTGAATTAGGGTAAATAAAAAACTCCAGATAAATGACTATATTATTCAGAGGACAAAATAGCGCACAAATAACAAAAATCTTGTGTTCTTCAGTAAATAGAAGCATGAAAATCCTAGAATAGGATAAGTTCACATTGTTTTGGGGGGCAGAGAAAAGCCGATTAGATGACTCAATCATGTGGCGTACTCGTCCGGTTACCAGTCCATGTTGGGTTAGTCAGCGGTCATGTGATCCACCCTATGAGGGCAAGGAGTTCTGCAATGCTCTTGCATATAATTATCCCTGCATGGGATTTGCACCTGCGAACCCACACAGGGTAATCAGACGAGAGCGTATTAGCACAATGCCCACACCGCCAAGTCTAACTTTCTTTTTTCAAGTCTTTGCTTATAAACCGTCATATTTCCTTGACACTAAGAATAAACAAGTTATACTTACCAAGCAATGCCAACCTATGTTGCCATTTCCCATTCCATGTGTTCATTGCAGATCTCAATAATTTGGAAGAATAGATGCGGTCTGCTTCTGTCTTCATTCTTAAACAAAGATGAAATCATTATTATAGATTGGGTTTGGAGTTTTAGAGGGGTTGGCGGGGGTTTGAGGGTCAGATTTTTAGAATGTAAAAAAAAAAAATTTCTGTATCATAAGTGTTTCCCAAGTTTTCGTAGCTTGAAAAGCTTAGACTCTCAAAACTTTTCGAAACCTACTTTTTCCGGACCCGGTAGCTAATCTGGTCTAACTTGTCAATTAGAAATTTCCGAACCCTTCCCCCTTCGGAAAATTCCTGTCTTCCCCTTTGCATTGGTATACCAGGATAGCATATAACATAAAAACAAAATATGTCAAGATTGAATCAGGAAACACTTACCTTTGTCTTGCTCTCTTAGTCGTTGTCCATTGTAGCCATTCATGAAAGCAACGTTGTTCTAGATTTTGTTTATAATGATTCCTGGATGATGTAGCCTTTTTATAGTTGGTTTTCCATTGCCTATAAAAAGAGAGAGAGAGAGAGTTAATTTTGTTTTGTCCAGCAGAAAACATAAACACAATAAAATATAATTGAGGGCAAAGACGTTCTTGGTAGAGACTTGGTGGCAATGATACCACCGAATTATAATGTGAGTGAACAGCACAAGCTATAGAAAGGTTATTTGATTCAGATAGGAGAAATATACCTGTTTGAAACTACCTGATCATACTTTTAGCACAACACAATAATTTCCTAATGGGGCCCTAAAGGTCACAGAGAAAGGGGGCCATGCATGTACCGTTTATTTCAGATAGGGATTATACCTAACTAGCAAAACACACTGTTCTGAAGATTGGCCTTCGATTCCATAGAATAAGGTAAAGATATGGATATGAAAAGTTAACTTTAACAAACTCAATGTTTTTTACCAGATTGGTACATACCTGAAAATAACTTCTTTTGACACAAGGTATCAAAAGGGAGCCATAGGGAGAGCCAGAGGGCCTTACATAAGAAATGTTTCCTCCCATATACTTTTACTATCATAGCTGTATCTCAGATGGTCTTCTATTTTTAGAACAAAGTTATTTATGACAATGATCTCAGAAAACGAGAGTAAAACCTAAATGTTTTCAAAAAAATTATAAAACGTTCGTTCCTTTAACAAAACCTTGAAACAAAACCCTACCTCAAATACTGTTTAATATTTAAAAATCTGGTGCGCTCCTTCATATGAGCCAGCATTTCTTGTTCCCATTTCTTAGTATGAATCAGCAGTTTCCATTGGTGAAAAGCAAACGCTAGAGGGCGATATCGCATGCGAATCACTGCAAGACGAACTAACCATTCTATTGTTGGGATAGACGAGTCTGAAAGTGAGAAAGAAAATTGGATAAATGAATGGAAGATAACAAAAAAGCAGGACATAAGGAAAGGTTCTGGGAATATTCCTCCATTGAAAGAAATTCAAACCTCATAAATATAAATTAATTAAATGCTTTTTGAACATAACTTAATTTGGTACTACAGTAGTGTGTGTACCAGGTTAGGGTTAGGCCATAATTTGAATCAGATTTTCCCTATCTTAGTTTTATTACGAGTCGGGGACTGTCTGTGTTAGCCAAGTGAATTTATTCCCTGCCCATAGGTTTCAGTCCCTTTACATAACTCGATGTAAAGTAGGTGAACAAAATTAGTTACCTCCATATTGGTACACACACATCTGGAGCGCCCCCAATTTTGAACCCAATTAGCACAACATTGTCAAAATTTGAAAATTTCAAAAGAAAATAAGATTAAGATAACATCTAACCTCTCAAACAAGGGTGAATAGGTAAAACCGGCTTCGGTTTCCTCTTTAAAATCTCTCTAGTTGCTGGTTCTATGACATCATAAATCTCATCTATTATAGCATCACTACTTGACAATGATGATGTCATAATAGAGATAGAAGTGTCATCTTCATTACTAGAAATTGAACTTTCAACTCCAAAATTTTCTGTATTGATAGAGCGGTCCATCATAGTTGACGATAATATGGGCGAAATTTGATCGTTTTCGGGGTTTGGGAAATTGAACTTGTCGTTTCGAGTTTTAGAATTTTTAGGATGCATATTAGAGTCTGTGCTTTTGTCACAAAGTTTCCGAGGAGTGACAACTTTAGCTGTTTCAATGTTATCTTCATGTTCTAAGACATTTTTCGGGAGTGTTGCGCAATCCGGAACACAAAAATAGCTTCTTTCTGAAGATATTCTATATTTTGGGGTCTCAGATTGTGAGCTTGGAGGAGAGTCTTCTGAATTGGCTGTTTTTGAGTAATTTCTTGAATGCTTTGGAGTGGAATTATTCTTTGGGGTAATTTTTGATAGGGATACAGGTATTTTTGATCGTTTTCTGGGAATACCTTGCTGGCATTCGCCATTCCCTGCTTCTATATTTGTTGTTATTGTGGCTCTGTTTGAGAATTCATCATTTCCATAAATTTCAGTTGATTTTTCGTGAAATTTTGGGTTATTTTGACCGTTTTGGCAACTTTTGGATGTATTTGCTTGTCCTTGAAGAGTTTGAACATTGACGTAATTTCCAATCTCATCTTTTTGGTTCTGTGGAACGTGGGTTCTTTGGTGGGAATTGAGAATAGGTAGAAATGACATATGTGAGAATTCACTCAATACAGGTTGCAAGTAGGGGTCACCACATGCTGGCAGTGTTGTTTTTGTTTGTGTACTTTGTTGTTGTGTTGTATAATTAACGTTGTGATGCAATATAGGTGATTTACAAGTTTCAACTTCAGTATTTGGTGACTTTTTCTCTGCATTTACTGTCTTCACAAATGTAAGATCTGAAGGCTGATGACCTTTTTCAAAATTCTTCTGCCGATCGTTTGTAAATTGGGTTTGAGCATCTATTAACTCCAAGTGCTGATGTTCGAGTTTACTTTTCAGGTCATTTTTAGAATCTCCATGTGTATCGTGTGTACATTCAGTTTGGATATCCGTTCCATTTTGATGGTGTTTTTGACTAGGCAAAGAAACGTCTTTCGTTTCAGATAAAGACCCAGAATTGTGGTCTGATTCTAAATCTTGTAGAGTGATAGGTTCCGTTTCTTCCAATACTAAATTATTCTGTATAGTGCTATAGTTCAATCCTGGACCAGTTTGTTGAAATCCATTAACTTTTACACTATTCACGGAACTGATTTCATCTTGTTCTGAGGTTGCCGTGGAAATGTAGTCTCGAAGCAGTATCCCTGAATCAGCACACCCATTTTGTAGAATGCTGTTCTCTGAGTTTTGAGTTCCTATTGAGCAAGATGAGAATATTGAGTGAGTGTCCAAATCAGAATTGATTCGTTTTAAATTTGTTGATTCAGAAGTGCGATTGTCTTCTCTAGTCTCTAGGAAGTCTGGATCGTGTTCCAGTTGAGTGATTTTTGTGCTAGTCTCAGAGAAGCCAGTTTCAGAAGAGCTTGATTTAATTTCTGTGTCATTGTGATTAGTTTCATCATTTGTCATTGTTACGTCACCATTAAAACTTGTCTGAGTGATGACATCATTTCCTGTGACATCATGTTCCACTTGAACGGCTTTTAAAATTGGATAAGCTTGAGGGATTTCTCGTCTCAACATTTTAAGTGACGATGAAAACTTTTCAAATTTTTTCTGAAAGTTTTCACTGGTTAATGTGTTCCAAGCAATAAAGAGTTCCTGTAAAATAAAACAAGTATGTTACGAATAAATTTTTTTTATTATTAATAAATCATCACATTTATATAGACACAATAATACAAATACAATTGCACTTTACAAAAATGAGCTTATAATAGTTTTCCACTTTTTCCACCGCCACCGAACCTCTGATTACTCTGCATGGGTTCGCAGGTTCGAATACCATACAGGAATGGTTATGTGCAAGAGGATTGCTGGACTCCTCGCGTCATAGGGTGGTTCATGTAACCGCTGGTCAGTTACGGCTTCCTCCAGCATCAAGTTCATGCTTCCGAAAAAAAATAACTAACTAATCCCATAATTGACATGGAATGGTAACCGTCTTATAACCGTCCGGTTAAGTCGTCTTATCGGCTTTCCTCTCCCCAGGATAAATATGTAGATCCTATCCTATCCAAGCAGCGGAGAGCCACTGCAGAGTTGTGAGTGACCTTTAAGCATTTTGTGTAAACATGATAACTAAAAACAATTTCCTAGCTCTAAAATTGTAGCAACCTTACTTACCAATGGCTTGAAACTAACCTGGTTGGCAAAGAGCCCTGGGAATCCTTTCTCACATACCGGTAATTATCATGCATGGGATTTAAACCTGCAATCTGACGCAGGAAAATAAATGGCCTGACAAACATATTCCAACAATACACTATTCCAAATTTAATTAACTACGGTAACAGATATTCACCTTAATTTTTTTCTTTGTATTCATGGAAGCAAATTTCTTTGCTCTTTGTTGCTTGAGAGCTGCAGCAGACCAGTACTTGAACTTTGAACTCTTGGTCGAAAGGTCATGCTTTTCTCTGAACCCTTGAATATTGTCTTCCTCATTTATCTTCCTTTGTTTTGTTGCTGAATTCCATCTGAAATGAGGAAAGAAAGAATGGCATTGAGTTAGGGAAGTTGAATAGGAGTTGATATTTATACAACAGAGGAAATCTGATAAAACAACTTAATGACATGGCGAACCACAGCCTATCAATTGGTTACCAGTCCATTTCGGTTACAGGAATAATGGACCAGGTATTTGTTTTAGATGCATGGACCTGATGGTGGTACATTTTTGAGTCACTGAAATATTTATGATCCGGTCATGCCTACCCGGAATTTCACAGCTTTGCCAAGTTGGTATGGGTGGGTATGAGAGATATAGCAAAGATCTGTAAATTGTGATGCTGACATAGCTAGATTCCTTGTACCTGATGCAACGATTCTCTCTCCATTGAAAGGCAGAGGTGACTAGCAAAATTAAAAATATCTCACCTGGCAAGTATTTCATGGGCATTCACTTGTCTTAAGAAATGCTCATGAAGTTTTCTCGACTCTTCAATCTGTTTGAACGTAGTCTTTGTAGCCCATGTGTAGAAGAGTCGTAGTAATAGCATCCGATGATGCTGATTTGAGACTACAGCATATCCATGGCAACGAAACAAGAACTGGAAAAAAGGGTTCATGAATACTTAATTTGTAGAAGCTTTCATTCATGTAAAAGCTCAAATGAAGCATACTGAGCATTGTAAATGGGTTTATCATTGCATAAGTGGTTAGGCCTACCTAGTCAGTTCAATTGTTGATGTATTGTGCTAAGCGCTAGGAACATGCTTTCCAGAGGCCACTATATTATTTCTGGTCAGGTAAGACTATCAGGCCGAGACGAATAAGTATTTAACAATTCCCATGCCGTGCTTCAATACACGTTTAGGCTTTTATCATTTTTCACTTCTGGGAATTAATATGAAAAATCCTGATACCTAAATTCTTAAGTGCCAAGCAAAATATCATGAGAGGCCACTGTAAGATTGAGTCGTCTTATTGACTTTCCCTCCACCAATAAAATCTATCGTGCGCAGGTAAAACGAATCAGAACTTGTGGAGATAATCATGTTTGAGAAGATTGCTGAACTTATCGCTGTTATTAGCAAATGGTTTTCTGTCAAGAAAAACATGGAAAAACCCTACATTTTGAACAGTTTTATTAATTAAACAGAAATCATTTAAAAGAAAGTATTGAAGGAATACTGTACACTGTTATCTTTCCAATATATAAAAAGAATACTAATGGATACTAACTTTTTTCCATCCCTTCAATGCTCTTCTTTTCATTATTTTTTCGTGCATTTCTTCAGCTTTTTCAATGTTATTTCTGTCATTCAATTTATTTTTCCATATCTGGAAACTTTCTTGCAAACTGTGGGTTTGAATTAGCTGATTCATATTTTCTTTCATGACTTGGCGATTTCGTAATAATGCCCAGGCATCAAAATATCTGAATGAAAAAATGGAAATTACTGAATTGGTATAGTTAAGCTAGATTTATCCTGTAGAAAAGTAAAGCCGATAAGACAGGTTAGTCATAGGATGAGTCAAGACTTCTGAATAAGTTGCTTGTTCAAATGGGGGTATGAGGCATAGGTATTTTAAATTAGTTTAATTGTTCCAGATTGAATTTGATGGTGGTAACAAGAAAAAGTCGTAACAAGCCAGACTGATGGAGCATTGAGTCCAGAAATCGTCTTGCACAAAATTTTTCCGAATGAAATTCGAACCAGTAAACCCAGCCAAAATAATCCAGTGTGACAGCATAGTACACAGCATAGTTTTCACATTCAAAAAACCCTCAACCTTCCTAACTGTGCCCCTGCGTTGAACATCTCAGTTTCAAATCCCAAGCCTACCACCTTACTCGGGGTGTAATAAATCAGATAGGCAATGCCGAACCTTCCCAAAACAGCAGCCCCGTACATATCAACCAATGCTCGTATTGATCTTTACTTAAACAATTAAAAACATCATATAAAATAAATTTATACCTTGCAATTCTCTTTCTATTCATTCTTTCAATCAAAGGTTTTATGTTCACTGATTCCTGCGCTCTCAGATTCCAATTTCTCAAAATTCTTCTCATTTTGTGTCGCAGCAAAACAACTCGGCCATCAGCAGCTCGCTGCTCTGATTTCCTCTCTTTGTGAAGTTTCCGTTTCCAAGATTCAAATCGATCTGCAATAACAACAGTAAAATTAAATTTATTTCGCTTTGCCAGGTTGGTGTTTTTTTACAACCTCGCTTTGGTCAGTATTCCAAGCAAGAAGACACAGATATTATAGGCCATGGCTACTCAACTGGCGGACCGCGGTCCGAATCCGGACCTTTCGAGTATTGGATTCGGACCGCACCTAATTCTTTATTTTGGATCATTGGCCCCACTTTGGATATGTGAAGATTTCCCTTTATTAAATGACTTTTTTAATTTTGAAGCTTATTTTATAATTTACTCATATTTGCATCTGACTATATATGGAACGAACTCTAACGCCATAATAAACAATTCTAATAATCATTACCCAGCTGAGAAAGTGCGCGTTTGAAGATGCCAAGCCATTTTGAAGTTTTTTATAAGGATCTTTGGTAAAAATAGTTGAGTAGCCTTTCTATATTTGGAAAGACCAGTGAGGTGGTAGGAATAGATAAGGTTTAAACTAAAGATTGCTGTGTGCTTGCATTGAAGGCAATTTTGTTTCACAAAGTTGCATAATGTTTATATAAGACAGAGGCAAAATAGACACCTAGCAGTTAAAGTGTTGAAACAGACTATGTTTGTGTCGCAGGTTGAAAATCAAGGTCAATGCTGTTATTTATGTTCATGTTAGACAATGATTTATCAATCTCCTCTTTTAGAATTTACCAAGTGAAGGCATCAAAACATCTAACAAAAAACTTACTTCTTAATCTCCTTTTTCTGAATCTCACAATCTGCATATCACATTTCCTGTCCATTTGTTTCAATCTCAATAAATGCAACCATTTATAAGCCGCGGTTTGTACACAATGTATCGTCCACTGTCGGTATTGTTCTTGCGCTGCCTGTATGATATTAAACTTCGTTCTCCAGATGTGAGATAGAGATTCCATGCATTTCTGAACAAAAAAATTGGATTATGTGGCATCCTTATTTGAATTATCTGGTTGCGAAAACTCATTCTCTGTAACGACTATTTATTACTTCAGATTGATTGCAAAAAAATAAATGGAGAAGATTGGAGTGATAAAAAAGCATATGATGGAAAATTTTCGAACAATTCAATGTAATTATTTTGATTCATGCGATTGTTCTTTTGCAGCAAACCCGCATAGGTCCAGGGAATAGACATACGCCAACCAATAATAAACTCTTAATTCATCAGTTCCCAAAGGTGTCCTAGTACTTCAGAGGAAAATCAGGCAGAGAGGAGTAGGAAGAGTTGACATTGTTTTTATTTTTCAGGCCTACACGTTTAGAAACTTTGAAAAGCACATCAACAATTAAAAAATTGACTAGAAAAAACTACACCTACCTTCCTATTTCTAACTTGGAAAGTTTTCTGCATGTTTCTGAGTTTTACTTTTCTCATAGTAAATTGGTGCCAGGATAGGAGTGATTTTCGCAAGGAGAATTGCTCTAGTCTTTGGATCGCTTGACACCTGAATTAAATTGGTGAACATTTTTAAAAGTTTAACAAGGAAATAAGAGGGAAAATATATACTACCTATGTCACAAACAGATGTAATTTGGCAAAATGTTGTATGAAAGAGTAAAATTTATTATGTGTTTTTACTAATGTGAGTGCTATTTTAACCAAACTGTCGGTTCATGATTTTGTGCTTGATGAGGAGAAATCTGAATGTTGGCCAGATTAAGGGCCATATTAAAAGTCTAAACGGGGGCCGCATGTTGCAAACTCCTGAGTTATGCAATGAAATGGTTTTCAATGCACTGGATTATGAACATAGTAAGTTACTAAAGCAAGAAACTGCTTGCCTTTCATAGTTTATTATTACTTATCGATTTTAATTTTGTCTGTTTGTCTGTTAGATGCACGCGATATCTCACGAAAGCGCGATTGAATCTGCTGAAAATTTTGCATGTGCATTCATCATATGTCGGACCAGAAGCCTATTGATTTTGAATGAATTATGTCGTATAATTAGCGAGTTAATAATTAATTAGTGATGGGACACAAGGTGTCACTATGGAGTAAGAGCGCTGTTTTGGGGGATCCCCTAACTTTCGATCAATAAGTCTTGGTCTCTGACCAATATTCTCGTTTGTTTGTTATTTAATTTTTGTTTATTTTTTGTACTTAAATTTCTAATTGCCAAGTCAGACAGTAACTTCTTGTGGCTCCACCAGAAATTCGATAAACGAGGGTTTTCAAGAGTCTTGAGGGTCTAAAAAGCATTTTAGGCCACGAAAAATTGCTATGCATGATAAAAAAAGTTTTTCTTACCATTTAAAAAAAAGAGGGGGGGGGGGGAGGGGGGCGAGAGTGTTCCGCGGGTGTCCCCCTCTGGGTATGCTCCTGTCTGTGCAATGAAAGTAATCTCCCAAATCCATACCTTTTTTCCTTGCAATTTTCAGTATATCCTTTTATACTACAGAATGCTTTTCTCAGTATTGCATAGTTATATTGGGACGCTATCTCTGCACAAAAAATTCGATGTTTCTGAATTCTGCCTTTCCAGATAAGGATACAATGCCTGAAAATATTATAAAAATTTATACATTGTGGTAGTGGAGTTTTTGTAGAATAGTGTTGCATACTGAGGATAAGATTTACATACTAACTCTGGGAGAGAGGAAAGTCGATAAGGCGGGCTTAATCATATAAAAAAACACGGCCCCACGTTCATTACAAGTCATTGTCGGGTATGGTATTTGTTAGCTAGTTATTTGTATTTCGGAAGCAAGGACTTGATGTTGGAGGGAGTCGTAACAGACTAGCGGTCATGTTAACCATCTTATGGCGATGAGAAGTCCGCCAATCCTCTCGCACATAATCACTGAAATAGCTTCTCAAACATTAATCCTCATTGCATCTAGAACGATGAAGTGATCAGATAATCCTACATAAACCGGTGACCAGACACGAGGCCACAGTTTATCGCACGATAACCTGTTTTATTAACTTTCCTCCATAACATAAATATGAAAACCCACCCATAAATAAACTATTATATTCAATCATAATCCAGCAACAAACCTTATATTCTTCATATTAATATTTTCTTTCATCCTTTTAACGTTGAGTTCTGTAACCCATGATTTAAACTGGAATCTCAACAAGCATTTTCTCCTGATTTCTCGAGCTGAAGCAATTTCCTTTCGATGTTGAATCCTCGATAAAGAAGTTGAATGTTTCCATTGCTTCAGTGAGGATGATAGCACCTAGAACATTTATTGATTGCATGAATTTAATGGCTTGACTCTTGTCCCAAATAGCTCTCAAGCTCTACCTTTTTCAGATTGTTCAAATTTTTCAATTTTCTGCTGCTGGGAAAAAAAGATACCCATGTTCTAGTGAAAATGAAAGTACTCAAAATGGTGAATTGCTAAAATTGAAACTGCTGAAGAGGAATATAGGATAAATATATAGTCACAAAGCTTGACAGCATCAGAATACTGCCTTGTGAAGAAAAGCCATTTTTACCATGAGATTGTCAGAACAATAACAGGAATAAAGGCAAAAGGTCAACTCTTCTTCCTTAACTTATGTTACATAAAATACTGAAAAAATCATTCGAGTCCGCTGACATCGGTTCAGCGGATGAATAAACTGTGGCTCGCGAAATTACGGCAAGTAATGTCTAACTAACTCTAACATAACGATTGAGGCAGACAATATGTAATAGAACGTAAACGACATAGAAGGTAAAATTATTCTATTGATTCATATCATTTAAAATAGGAAACTTTTTAGGCTTTATATAATGAACACATTTGAGTTGGTTGTTGGCATGACCAGGGGTACAACCACTATTCAAGGCCTTAGAATAGAATGACTAACTGCTTAGCTCTACACACATATCTGGCCTGAACTGGGAACAGAATGAGATGATACTGTGTGCTATCAGATTAAGCAATTTAAAATATCTTTAGACTCTCTCTTTTTAAAATATCATCCCAAATCCTATTATATTAATATTTAATCAAGTAATTATTTTTTTATCTATAAATTAACCACCTTTTTCCTATTGTACATCCGAGCATATTGCGTCTTTATTGTAGTATTTTTCCATCTTAGCAGAGTACGAGATAAAACTGAACTTTCATGCTTGATATCAGCAACTTCTAGTTGAGATCTCAAGACAACTCGTTCCGCTGGTTTGATAAAAAAATGGAAATAAAATTTTGAAATAATGATAATGGATAAATGACTTTTCCGTGGAGTTCTTTTCAAATTTTCGCAAACAGAGTTTTGCAACCAGAGTTTTACATTACAAGCATAAAGACAATTTTTTTGGAAGTTACGACAAAACCCACATGAGCTTGTTATGTTAATAAGTATATCATAATTTTGTTTTACGTGCGTTTGAGATTCACTGCTCCGCATAGTTATTTATATCAGTTGAAACTTGCTCAATTATTGTTCCACGAAACATAATTACAGGGTTCACAGATTCTCAGACCAATAATTACCAGCATTCTTGCCGATAATTACGTCAACATATTATTATAAAATTGAATTGTCACAAAGATTGAAGACTGATTTACATGTTCCATACACAGGTAATACTGGAATGAAATTATGGTTTGGGCATTCATCCTTATAATGCATTTTTTTATCGTTACCTATAAACCGGATAGGTTATCATAAGAGAGTTCCACAAAATACAACTTACATTCATGGAATTGACGGATTATTACATTTTTTTGGCTCACCCAGCATATACCAAAATTACGATAAAAAGTAACATCACTTAGTTTAATTCCAGACACGACAAAGAACATTTATCATAATGAATAATGGCAGTTTTTTATTTGATAACACTTTTTAACTTTTAATCAGACACAAGGCTCAAAGTATTACTCCACTTATAACTTGTCAAAAATACAGATAAGTAGGGTCGAGATAAATGTCTAATTCATTTAGGGTTTCATGCTCAAATCAACATTATTCCATCCATGCATTACCTGTAAAGATTCTCCATAGTTGCCAAGACCTGCGAACCATTACAAAATCATAATGCTCTGATGCAATACGTAAATGACTTGAACTGTGAAATCTTTCCCTCCAGAAGAAGAACGTCTAAAATAAAAACGTTAGAAAAGTGGTCATCATAAATACCAAAAATAAAATATAAACAATATTTACTGTTAAAAATAATTATTTTAATATCTATTACAGTGGTCCTCAAACGATGTGGCGCGTCCTACAAAGGGGGTTGACAATTTTTAAAGGGGGGTGTTAAGCTGATTAAAAAAGAAAATATTCGGTATTAGGTTATTTTCCATCTACATTTCAACGTGATTTTTGAATAAAACATACTTTCGCCTTACTATCTGTTATTTGTAGCCTATTGTTGGCTAGTTATTTTGGAAGTGGGGCGTGAGACTTGGTAAATTCCAAAAAGGGGTTGCGGCTTAAAAAGTTTGAAAACCACTGATCCATTAGGAATAGAATAGAATCCTTGGACGATAACATTAAATTTGAAAGTCAGTATAGCCTTCACAATTCCTAACATTCATAGGGCCTATGCCTAACTTACTTGCAGTGATACAATCCTTTCTCTTCTGCTTTCAAACAGACCAATAATGATCTTGTTCTTACAACAGGTTTTCCAATGAGTGAATGTTGACTTGATGTTTTCATATCTTTTTACTTTGTATCTATGTGTAAGAAAAAGCGAATTAATTCAGAGCAGCATTTCTCGAACTCTTCAGGCTCAAGAACACATATATACTTTTTTCTTGCTTCATGAAAAACCAAGAAATTAGAAGGTGAAATTGGTAGGTGGTTTCAAAGACTGGCAAGAAGCCTGTCCTTCTGTTTAGATATTAGGGCCATTTCGCCTGATTGTTGTCATACATAGCAATTTTTCGTGGCTTGAAATGCCTTTTAGACACGCAAGTCTCTTGAAAATTCATGTTTCTCCAGCCAGACGATAGCTGTTACGATCTAACTTGCCAATTAGATATTTCAGAACCCCCTTGCTACTCCCCTGATTGAACATTAAAAAAAAATGTTCAACTTCTAAAAAGTTAAAATACGAAACTAATACACTAGAATATAATATATCTAACCGTTTCTTCCATTTCATGAAGCATTTGGCAAACTTCAGTCTCCTACCGGCTGATACAACTTGGTTGTCTTTCATTTTTCTTGAACTAACTGCCCAATGCAGAGCTGAAACAGAGTGATACATCATTACTAGAGATAGCTCTCGGATTTAAATCCCAAGTCCACCACCCCACCCAGGGTGCACCAGAAAGATTCCAGTACTCCCAAAGTATAGTACATCGATCGGCAACCTGCGACTCTTTGTTTTCGCGAAGCTGTGGCTCCAGTGAATCAAATTACGATGATTCAAATTTGTCAAAACAAGGTTTCTCATATTTATTTTTCGAGTTCTTTTCATTTCGCCGTAAACTGAATTGCATCATTCTTAATTCATTTGGCTCCTTCTTACAAAGAACTAGAATATTGTTTCGTAAGTTTTTTTCCGAGAGTTGTAATACTGACATTTAAGTAGATGTTGCAACTCCGAGCAGGTTTGTGTTTGACGGAAAGAATGCCAAATGGCTCTTTCAATGCTAAAGGATGCCATAGTAGGTCATTATCTAGCAGTGGCTGCTTATACAATGCCTCATTCGGAGTGGTAGGCGTTTGAAATCATCATCTATGTTCGCCATCTCAGCCAGGGTATAACAAATTTGGAAATAGGCAAATTAGAAGCCAATAAGACTCCAAAATTATAAACTACAGAAAATATTTCCTTAGCATTGCTTCTTGAACAGAGCCATGCTACCTAAAAAACGTCGTATAAATTCTCAACACTTAGCACCATGTACCAATAATCAAGACAGCTTAGTGTTCTAAATTGAATCTCTCACCTGAAAATCCTTTCCTTATGAGTTGGTATCTCTTGAGTTCATCTGCTGCTAGTCGATGTCTCAGGATCAAGCTTCTCCAAGCAATAAAATGTTTTGCGGCCGTCGTCAAAGTTTGGAAACTTATTGCTCTAAATATTAACATTAATATTTGTTGATGTGATGAGATTTTTAGATTTACTCCGGAGGATAGAGAAGCTGCTACAATGATTCAATCATAATATGGTGAACCAACAAACTTTTTCCCCTAAAGTGTTTCTAAAGTGTGCGTCACATCTCTTTTGTTACATAACAATAGAAGTAGGCACTACTTCCTGCAATTACACGTTTTGCAGTTTGCTTTATTTGCTAAAGATTTATGATCGCAAAATTGAGTTTTATTTGAAGACAGCATTTTTTTCATGTGAGTGTGTTGTGAGTTTTTCCCTGATAATTTGGAAACGCACAACAAGAAGTTTTAGAACCGCTGCCCTAAAACATGTATGTATCTGAAGGACATAAAGTCCAATGATTACAAATTGAAATTTGCTTATACAGCTTACTTCAATAGCTTCAGATTTTCTTTGCTCTTGATTGCTTTCAACAACCGGACATTCTCTTTCCAGATTCTGAAATACCTGTAAGTAAAATTGATCTTAACTGAGTGTCAATGAGAAACTGATATTGTGAATTGAACAAATCTTACCTCTGTTAGGAATCACTTTTATTTATTTCATACTATCTTACACTATGTCGTATTATGGCTTGGCAGGGTTTAGCAAATGGTGAAGTCATCTAATATGCTTTCTGTAAATGATTTTTACAAACATTTGCTCAAGGCAAAAACGTACCGTATTTATTCGAGTATAACGAGAACTTTTTGATTGAAAATTGGTTTAATTTTTTTAGATGAGACCAAGGATAGACAAGAACAACATTGAGGTCGAAAAAAATCCATACTAGTTATTCATGTATAACACTCATCCTCAATTTTTTATTGGAAATCAGTACAGAATCTTGCATGTCATACTCAAATAAATACATTAAACAAAAGTGAGAAAAACAAAAAATGAAGTCAGAAATGACTATGGGAGCTAGAACTGATTTATTACCTTGATTTGAGAATCACATTGTTTCTCTCTTTTGGTGGACTTTTCTCTACAATTTTGCATAACCTTTGATCCCTCAAGGCAGAGAAATTTTGAGGAGTGAATTTTGTTTCAAAAATCCTGGTTTCGAGTTGAGGTAGATGCTCTTGCTGTATAATCGAAGCCTGAGGTTGTGTTGAAGATTTTTTGCAAGGAATTTCCTGAGTTTTTGTTAAATTTGAAGTTGGTAAATGCGAAGAAAGCTGTGCATATGTTTTTGTTGTGTTTTGAAAGTTTTTTCTTGGATGGGGAGAAGTAATTCTGGAAGATTTCGGGGTTGAAGCAACTAAAGTAGTTTGACTGGAAGGCTTGAGATTGCTTAAAAGATGGCTTTGTTTTTCAATGGTAATTTCTGACCCTGTAATTTCATTATGGTTTCGGTTCAATGAAGATGATAGCCTTGAAGACTGAAGATTTCTTGTTTGGTGACTTTGTAATTTACTGCTAATTTTAGGCCTTGTACTATCATTTTCGCCATGGTTCAATAAATTTGAAGATGTTTGCATGCAAGACTTGAATTTCCTTATTGGATGACTTCGTAATTTACTGCTCATTTCAAGTTCTGAGTTTGCATTTTGGTCATGGTTTATTGAATCCAAAGACCTTTCACTAAAAGATTTAGGATCTTTCAAATCACTGCTAATTTTGAGATCTGCATTTGCATTCTGATCATGGGTCAATGAATAGGGAAATGAATCTGCAGAAATATGAGAACCATCAACATCATAAACTTCTTCTTCAGAAAGATCACTCATTTTAAGCTCTGTATTTTCAGCGTCATCATAGTCAATTGCATTCTCTCCCAGACCAAGGTCTTCTAAGCTAATGATGGGCCGAGGTGAGATTTGTGTAGAAATTGAAATTGGATCTTTGAAATGGACTTGCTTTCTTGGGCTTAAATTGTTATGAATTCCATCAGATGATAGGAAATTATCTCTATCTTGAGAAAATAGTGTTGAATTTGAAGCCTGTAAAATCAATGGAGCAGAAACAGGGCTGTGTAAATGCATAGTGTTTTTAGAATGATATTTCTCAGCATCGACAAAATTTTCGTTGGAGACATTACGGCTACCTGCTGGAGAAAAGTAATCATCTATACTTGAACTCAGCAAACTGCCTTCAAAATGCTGACTTAAATCACCTGGTCTCGATGAATTTCTGTGAAATTCAACCTCTGGATGGTGATTTGCCATGGATAAGTGATCATGATGATCGTCAAGTACGCTTGATGCATACTCTTCTATTGAATCAAGCTCTGAAACATGCAATGACTCATCAGAAATTTCTTTGATTCCACCTGCTGAAAATGCTGATTCACCATTTCCCTCTAAACCAGATAGTAAAAGTGAACCATTTTCATTTGGTAGGAATTGAGAGTCGACAGAATTTCGGAAACCTCCTAAAAATGATCGCTCCCCTGCTCTTAGTCCAGCTAAGAATCGTTGGTTAATCAAATGCTCCATATCTGCTTCTAATATTTCTTTTTGAACGCCATTTGTGGTTGTTTGAAAATCTTCCCCTCTGTGAGTCTCATTGTATAAGCTATCACCTGATAATATTGGTGAATTTTTCAAATTTTGATTTGAAAAACTTTGATGGGCTGGACTAGTTAATGTTTCAAGGCTTCGCTTAGGTGTTTGATGAAGAGTAGGAATAGCTGTGCTCTTATTAGATTTCCTTGATTTTGGAGAAAATGTTTGTGAATGAGATCCATGAGGAATTTTCTGTTTTGGAACTTTCTCATTTCTCTTCACATTAGTAGAAATTTGCAAACATTGGCGATTAAAACCAGCATTATATTTCTCGTTTTCTTTTCTGTTCGATAATTTTTGACCAGTTCTCGGTTTCGTACCTAAATCGCTGTCACTAGGGTACGATAGAGGACTCGAATTCCTTAAACGTGGGCTTGTTTTTTTATGCTTCGGTAGAGAAGATTTTCTCAGAGTTTCAACTTTATTTCTGCCTGTCCTGGACTGGATATTGGAGTTTTGTATAATTCTTTTCGTTCTTGTATTATTCGGAAAGTAGCCATCAGTTTCACTATAAATATTTTCGTCTGTCACAATTCCATTAGTACTATTTCTAGATCTGTTATTATTGGTTACATTCGGGTCATAATTTTCTGCCGAGAACAGCAAATCAGAAACGCTATCTGATTCCACAGGGCCCACTGTGACCTGCTGTACATGAGATTTCCTAACGCTGAGTTCATTGAGTGAAATCCGTTTTTGTGACGTTGTAGAGGAAACAGGAACAGCATCATAAACCCTCGGAGAAAGTAAAACATTGGTTTGTCTCATTGATGAAACCACTTCAGACTTTTCTTCATTTTCGTCCAGCGATGATAAATTTAACTTTGACCACAAGTAGGAATTTTTAGATTGTGAAACGTCACTGGATACTTTTGAATCAGATGACTTCCTACTTCTTGCTTCATATCGTTGGTGACTTTTTCGATGATAGTTGACCCCATTTACATTTCGATGATGTTTTTGTGATAAATCCGAGCGCTGTAACCTGTTATCTTCCTTATTGCTTGCCCTACCAGTAACTCTAGCACCACCTTGTGATTGTGTATCATTTGCGCCACTAGTAGTATTTTTTCTTGGTGGTAAATCAGCTAGGAACGGTATTCTTGTCTTACGATCCGATGGACAGAGATTGCTTTGTACAAGAGAGGCCTTTGGCATAGCGCATTGCTCTGCAACAAGAAAAAAAATAAAATAAAAAAACATGAGTACAAAGCATGAAAAGACAGAAAAAGAAAATGGAAAAATAATTCATGAAAACAGTTTGTACATTTGAATTAGTCATATACCAGTATATCGAAACCAGAAGTGGGCAACCTGCGGCCTTTGAGTCAAATTCGATCAATAAAGAAAAAATTTGAGGTTCGCAGAGAAGTTCCAATCTGACTTGGTGTGCGACCCGAGAAAAGAGTTTTTAATTTAGTTTAATCCAATATGGCGAGTGATAGTAATCCCTTTGCAATGCAACGCCTGCACCTGAGTGGAATTGAATATCTAAGACATTACAATGCTTTAACAGCTAGCTTGTATGAACAACATAAGTCATAAGATCAATGTCCAAAACTTTCGTGCCTGCAACTACAAGAAAATTGTTACAATTATACCACCAACTAATCACATACATCTGTCTGATTCAAGTCTCCTTTTTTATCCTTTACAATAATTTACAAGACTCACAAACAACAGCATAATTCTATACTGATTGACAAGTCATGTGTTAAGAACATCTGGCAAATATGAATTCCCAAACAACCGCACAAATGAAATCAAATACAATCTAATAAATTATTCAAAAGGATGCCTAGTGGACAAGTTGATAAGTACTACTGCCTTGACAACTAAGTAATTACATTATTTATAAATTATATTGATGTGGGAGTTGGGCAAAACAGAACAGTTTGCTTATCTGAATAGCTTTGAAATAATATTTTGAAATTATGAAACATTATTCTGAATTTACACTCACAGAAAGACATGCTTATTAAGTAGTAAAACGATACCTAAAAGATAAAATCTGTGAAATATTCAGCAGTTAGACATACATTAGACCAGTGGTTCCCAAACTGCGGTAACGATTTAAAATGGCCCGCCGAACTTGAATGAAAGAAATAGTTTAACCGTAAATAGCATTTTTGGACACATAGTGAACATAACGATCGTTTCAAAATTTTGCTGTTATTGTTATTTTCATTATTATTTGTCTCCATCATTTTTAAAAAAATCGCTTTTCGCTTCGAATACTGGACCAATTGCTTTGAAATTTTCAGTGGTTGAAGATAAAATTTTTCCCCAGAAGGCTATTACTTTTATTCATTTTAAATATTTCTGTTAGCTCTGTGAGATTTGTTTTTGTTTGCTATGACGTCATTAAACGTTCTGCGGACATCGGACGCCATTTTGTGTCCTACTGTACTGGAACTGACTGCTTCGCTTGGTGTGAATATATTTGTAGACTGTGATCTGACGGTACGGTAAACCGTACTGTGCTGCGAACAGACGTGTCCATATATTTGGGCATAGCTCGGGAGAACGACGTATTTCAAAAATTAGTTCATTGTTAAATTCATGAAAATGACTATTAGGCAGCCACTAAAATACTATATTGATTAATTGAAATAAATCTCAAAACTCTATATCGCTCAATAAATGTATATAACGACAGCAACCTGAAGATAAAATCAGCTAGATATTGAAGCCCCATTCAAGAGCTATTGAGGACACTTTCGAGTGTATGCCTACTCGCTTGTTTATTTGCTCAGTAAGTTATCAAGAAAACCACAGGCCACTTCAAATTCCTCGAGTTCAACAAATAGGTAATCAAAATAATTCAGAGAATAGCTTATAGCTTGTTGTATTAGGTTATTTCTGGTAGGAGATTAAAAAAAATTCCCATGAAAATTGTGTTTCCAAGAGCTAGATTTGGCCAAAGGCTGTAGTTTGCCCATGTCAGTTTTACAGTATACTAGAGCTTGTACATAGTCTAACCAGGAAAATATTGTGCATGACTTGAATTTTGTGACAAGACCTGTTTATGTTGTATTTATATCTTAACTCTGAACAAGGCTTAACAGAAGCAGCTGTTAAAGTTTATAGTTCAATGACATGATGTAGTGAGTTTTTTACAGTGCGATATTGATATATCTCTATAATATGAAAAAAGTGTACAATATGTGAGAAGCAATGACTATGGCAAATACAATTCCCCATAAACAAATTTTTGTTCAGAGTGAAGACATAATGAACACATGTCTACCTGATTATTTAATAATGATAATATTATCTACTGGATAAAAATTTTAAATGAATGGTTTGAAAATTCACTATTGCATTCGCTCATCAAATTTAAAAAAAAAGAATGTAAAATTTCACAAATTCAAACAACAATAAAAACAAACTACCGTAAGATATAACAAGAGAGCTATGCTCAAATATATGGACACGTAGCGCCACCCAGTGGCAATAATTTTGATGACATCATAGCGAAAAAAAAAAAAGTAATAGCCTTCTGGAGAAAAATTTTATCTTTAACCACTGAAAATATCAAAGCAATTGGTCCAGTATTCGAAGAGAAAAGCGATTTTTTAAAAATGGAGACGGAGACAAATAACAATAACAACAAAATTTAGAAACGATCGTTATGGCCACTAAACGTGTCCAACAATCACACTTACATTTAGTCATTGAAGTTGATACTTAAAAGCATACACTCCCAGGTTTATGTCACATTTTTAATTCCACAAGGTAATTCTCCATCTCATTGTTATGTAGTATAATGTATCCAGTCCATTGTGTTGCAATAGCTGTACTTGGTTTATTCCTACTTTATATTTTGAAGAGACAGCATGATACTCTGTTAATGTGAAAAAAATGATTCAAAGAATTGGGCCAATGCAACATAGGGTTTTATTTGAATGCTTGGATCAAATCAATTTTGAGATCTAGCAGAGTGAACGCCATAAATTCATAAATACCGCCAAACAAAAATGGAAGGTGAAGTTACTGCCGAAACTGCTTGAACAAGGCCAAACAAAAATCAGATGCGAAAGCACCGCTAAAACTGCTTGAATAATTCCAGACAGAAATGGGATGCGAGATTTTATGACTAAAAATCTGCCTGGTCTGGACTGAAATATTTGACAGACACGTTTAGTCAAAATTAAAACTGCTCAATCTTCAACTAGTCAGGTATGTCCAATGCCAAATAGGGTAAACGTTCTGTCTGCATTAAATTGCTCTTTGCTAGTTTTAGTGATTACCAATATCTCCTTCCTTTTATTAGCGATACTATCTTAGAACAATAAACCAGACATGCTTCCATCTTTAATTATTTATATTTCATATCCACTGTATTCAAGAATACTTTTTCAATTTTTTGAATAGTAAATTACAACTACTGATTCAAGCAACATTGCTTTTGCACAGTCTAGATCAGAGCTTGCCAACCTTTTTTTAATCGACCAAAAGTTTCTAAAAATGAATTTTGTAAAATCTCTCGACCCGAGCATAATAAGCTCAAATACTATAATGGCATGAAGTACTTTTATGGGCAATGACTGACTAATATAAAACAAAGGGATAAAGCTGCACTAGTTTTTTCTCAGTGAAGTTTTAAAATCGTGGCATGGTTTTACATATTCAAAACAAATTAAAAATGCTGCTGTTTTTACATGTTGATACCTTACACAAATACAATAACACATCAATACCAAATAATAAATAAACAATAAATATTTGATAGAAAATTAATTCAATACCTTATACTTTTATTTAAAAAAAACAAGCGATCCAAAAATATTCTCAGATGACCTATAGGTTAGGGAGCACAAGTCTAGATTCTAAGATTACTCTTTGTATTTTCCATATCCATATTACTACCACCATCTCAAAACAACAAATGAAATTTAATTTAACGGCATAATAAACTTTTGAAAGTAACTGAGATAGAACGAGTCAGTTGGTGACCATTCATTCATCGCGTTTGTATTTTTATGACAAAACAAGGCGTTTGGGTGTCATGTTACAACATAATGATCTTTTAGTAAAAGAAGTAATTAAATCTGTGCGTAAATTCTGTTGAATAAAAAACACAGAGAATCATGTTTCTTTTGATTGCTATTGTAACAGAAAATATTATTAAACTAACAACAAAATCTGTAAAGTTATTAATATACAAGTTTGATTTTCATATTTTATTGCTATTTATTATATTATTGAATCTAGTGTAGTTTTGTTCCTAGTTTCGGGCGATCGTAGGTATACTTTGGCATGCTCTATGGGGTGAAGTCGACGTCGTAGTGACGTAACTTCTTGAATGGCGTAGTCAGGTGGAGGTTAGGATTGACATGTGCAAAAATCGTTATGCTACGCCAGCTATAAGTACTTGATGTATGAGACACATATTATTTTTCGTACATATTATTGAGCAATGTCAAAGCAAATTATTTTAGTTCAGTAGCTATTATTTCCAGTAGCATCGGAATCGCCTTGTTTAGAGTGAGACGCCTCACATGAAAGCACGAAATACAAACAGCAATCCACAAGTCATTTATCTTAGTGACTACTTGAAAATGACAAGACACTTAGCAATTGAATTTATGGCCTACATTGAATTATAAATAGTCTGGCATCCACAATTTGGCTCAATTACATTTTAAGCAAGTGATCAATTCAATTATTACTCCAGACCGCTGCGGTTCATATAAAAATACCACCAAGAACTAAACATAAGCGAAAATAACACAATAAATACATAAAATATCTGATACGACAATCAGATTCACAGTAGATCTCAAAAAAGAGTTAATACAGTAATCTAAGGGGCCATAGGTGAAGTATAGAATCCAAGAACCATCATTATAACGTAATAACTTTACTTAAAACCATCTAACTTCATAATTTACTGACTTATCTCTATTCAGCTATTACAAATAAATATCAATGTTCCACGATAAGACATATCCATTACGACCATTAGACCGTCAACACACGATTTGTGCTCAATGTAGGATTACCGGAACCCCCCAATTCCCCCCCCAAATAAATTATGACACGGCGGTGTGGCTCAACGGGCTAAGCGTTAGGAATACGCTCGCCACCGCACCTCTAATTACTCTGCGTGGGTTCGCAGGTTCGAATCCCATGCAGCATGCAGGGATGGTTATGTGCGAGAGGATTGCTGGACTCCTCGCCGTCGTTGGGTGGTTCACGTAACCGCTGGTCGGTTACGGCTTCCTCCACCACCAAGTCCATGCAGCCATGCTTCCGAAAACAAACAATACAGCAATATAACTAATCCCATACCCGACTTGGAATGGTAACCAGACGAGAGGCCGTGGTTCGCCATACTGCCATATGGCTGTATGGATAAGCCGTCTTATCGGCTTTCCTCTCCCCCGGGATGAATATGTAAATCCTATCCTATCCTATAAAAAAATAAACACACAACAATAAATCCATATTTCAGTAAACTCGACACCAAAATTCGGAAATTAGTTTAAAACTTTTTTGCGCAATCAAGCTCCCGGAATAGACTTGTTTGAAACAAAAGTACCATACCGGTATGATACAATATAAAATCGTGACAAGTCGCATATGCTTTCCGAGAATAACAGCAAATAAACGCCTACAATACGAATTTATTTTTTTTATTTTTATTTTTTGCCAAATAAATTCCAATGCCAAACGGAATTTTCGTATTCATATTTTGGAATCGAATTCACACGGCGCGACCGAGGAAACAAGGCCAGATAATGCAGACTTTCAAATTTGCAGCGATCAGCCGATTAATTTTATATGAAATTCCGGATTTATTAATTTTCTCGACTCGTGTCACCACCATTTACTACAATGTTTATGGTTCTCTACTGCCGCCAACGGGACTGTGTTTACTGTTGGCATGGAAACATCCACGCTTCATCGAACACGTTGAGTTTTGTTTTTGCTCTTTCGTTCGGCTATTCAGCATATTTTTCAATAGTTTATGGTGTTTAAAATTACGAGGAAATAGTAAGAAATCGAAGAAATGTCTTTAAAGCCAGTAAGATTGCCTCCCATCGAACCGGAGGCTGGAACAACACTTCACAGAGACCAGGGTCCTTCCTATAAACTTAGCGGAGTCAGTTCCAGGGTAAAATTTTCTTTAATACCGTACCCTAATATATGTTAACATTATTTTTACCAATTAGAATATAGATATAAATCTAACGGGTTTTCTGTTTTGAACATGCTATTTTAGTGTTACCAGGTTGCTCTATTTGGTGAGTGAAGCAGGTCTAACCCACCTCTTCATACATCCAACTTGGCAATTCTGATTGGGCAATTTGGCATTACTGCATTAGGTGACTCCAATTATAATCAGCTCGACGATATCTTTTGTGGAATACTTTTTTATCCACAGGATAATACTCCTGTTGACTAATTCGGTATCAAATTTGGCAATCCTCATAAAATTATTACTTTGGTGTGGCAAAAGAATTTATTAATTTTTTTTTCATTTGTTTGTATATTTTTCTTTTTACTGAGTAGTTTAATTTATTTTTTTATTGCTTTTTAAACTTCCGACCTTAACATGTCGCGATGTTTGTATGTGCGTGCGTGCCTTAATTAGTTTTTTTTACCTTTTGGGTGAGCGAACACGTACTACTTCTTTTATCAATACCTTTCCATCTAAAATCTGTACGTTTCAAACCTTACTCTAGGTTTTGTTTGCTTTCACGATTCTATAATCAGTTACTTTTATTTTTGTTTTATCCATTATTTTATCGAGTATTGCTGATTATGGAGTCGAAATAAACTTATACTTATATTGTAGCTATGAAACAATCTGGCAAGCACAAATTTTACCTTCATGTTTTTGTGATCCTTTTTACTTATATTTATTTTATACCATGTTTACTCTTGTTTTTCTCTCTAAGCCAAAGCCCTGTACGAGCAGACATAGATAACTAACTATATAATCATAGAGGCAGATACTGAAATATGAGGTAGTCAATGTCACATATCTGATTAACGACTTTGAAAAAACTTTGAGACCTCAAAAATTTCCTTTATTTCAGCATCAACTTCCCCCACAATCAGTCCTCAGACCAGGTATTGATACACAATCAGGAGAACTAGATTCATGGCCGGCATATGCAAGTCGAAGTATTACAGATATTGGTGCAATTGGTCGGGGAGGAAAAGGCCCAAAAAAGGTGATATGTGTTTTATAAACAATATTTGGAGTTTTGATGACTTCTTCAATCATAAGGAATTTGGGTATATTTTTCTAAACAATACTTATCCAAGCCTCTTGCTTCAAACAAGGAGACTAAAAAAAACTCCTTCATTTCAGCATCAACTTCCCCCTCAATATTTTTTAATATCTTAAAAGAGGGCGGGGGGGAGGGGGGGGGGTGGTTCCGCCCCTCAATATATTGAGATGATTTGAAATTCTCATAACTAAATTAGCGAGTGTCTTCCAAAAAGCTCGATGTGCATATATATTATTCTATCTTTTTTATTACAGCAAAGCGTCATCCCAAAACCTAAATTCTTGGAAGCTTTAGAGAACTATGTCGAACGTGAAATAATAACACTTAACTGTCAAGACCCCAAACCAAGCGAACTTCGATTACAAGCTTATCGGGAAGTGTTTGAATATTTGATCGGAGATTTCAAGACCTACAGACCTCTCTTGTCACAAGTGAGCTATGAAGATTGATATTATGAATTAGAGTAAGGAATATGGCAACCAGCTTGTGTGACAGGAACTTGAGGCTATTCTTATGTTCATATTTGGTTATTTTGGGGTCCTCCATGCTGCTATATCATCATGACATTGACTTGCACTTGCACACTAGGGAGCATGTTTGGGCGCTCCAGAAGTATGTGTACCAATATGGAGGTAACTGATTTTGTTCGTCTACTTTACATCAAGTTGTGTGAAGGGACTGAAACTTAAGGGCAGGGGTATATTCACTTGGCTAACACAGACAGTCCCCAAACTCGGAATAGAAGTAAAATACGGAAAATCGGAATAAAATTATGGCCTAACCTTAACTTGGTACACATACTACTGGAGTACTCATGCTTAGCTGGTTATGTCTTCCTCCATCATCAAGTCCATGCATCTGAAACATATAACCAGCTAACTGCAGTGTATATTTAAAAAATGAAACAAGCATGCAAATTATAGGAGGTAACTGAATAGCCTATCAGAGTTTATCCAGCGGCATAATAGCTAGCATGACCAGCTTCACTATTCGAATATCTACAACCCATTGTGTTTAACGATGATGTCATAGCTTTTGATCAACATCTGGTAGTAATTCATCAACACAATACTAACCATCTCAATACCTTGCATAGATCGTTATACAGATAAGATTTCATAATTTCTCTCCCTATAACACAATTACCTTTTTTTCTCAGATCAAAAATGAATATGAAAAAATGTTGAGTCATTACCGAGAGAAGATTCGCGAACTTGAACCGTTGAAATCAATGTTAATAACAGTATCGGAACAATGTGATCAAAAGATTTTAAGGATAAGAGAAGAGGTGGGTTGAGTTGCACTGTATCTGTGGAAAGCAGCCACCATGTTTGGAAGAACTGAAATTAGTGTTTATAAAACCCAACATTGTTCTCATTCATGGTTTGGGGTTTCTCTTCTGCAGACTCTCAAGGCTTGTTGCTTGTCTGCTTTTTAATGGGAAAACATCATTTGTTTTTAATGGATTTTCATATTGCAAATAGTACCAAGTGAAGGCGATTGCTCGTGGCTTCTAGACAGACATTCTGGGGCTCCCTTGTCGAAGCTTCAGTTTATAAAACCCAGCCTTAGGACCTGTATACATCCAGTTTGCACAAAATCAGAAGTGAACACTTATCTTTTATCCTCATTACTCTTGGAAAAAAATCAACCCGGGCCGGGTGAAGCTTCTCCCCTAATATATCATTTTTTCGTAGCTATGTTTGGTATAATAATTGGACATTTGTCTGAAAATGTCTTTGGGCTTGAAAACACTCTGTTACAGCTTATTATTTGCCGTGTTTGTGTTGAATGAAACTCCTCATTATAATTTCTTTAATTTATTTTAACCATTTTGTTTTCCTACATTACAAGGAAAATCATGAAATACTTGGACTTCGTAGAAAAGTGAAAGAACTTCTGAATGAATTAGGGCAAGGAAGAATAAGAGAACAAGGATTACAGGCTCAGATACTGAAACTACAGGAAGAAATGGCAAAAGAATATAAAAGGTTGGAATAAGATTGGTTTTTATATTTATTCATGGGAGCGGAAAAGTATTCAATCGTATGACGAACCACAGCCTCTCGTTTGGTTTTCAGTTTATGTCGAGTATTGAAGAATTCATCAGTTAATTATCAAGATGCAAGATTTCTCGGCGGCTCTCCATAATAGGGCGTTTTATCTATCAAACACTTCATATTTATTCACGGAGCAAAAAAATCATACTTTGACCCTTTTTCGTCTTACCAGTCTATGACGGGTAAAGTAATAATTTACCAATTAATCGTCCCCGATACTTGTATTCTGGATTGTTTCATTTCGAAGAAAAGGCTATTCAGGGTTTTGCAAACTGACTAATGTGTTGACTAATTCGGTATCCAATTTGGCAATCCTCATAAAATTATTAATTTGGTGTGGCAAAAGAATTTATTCATTTTATTTTTTATTTGTTTGTATATTTTCCTTCCTTTTTACTTTTAAGTCTCGCTTTTTTCGCTTCCGACTGTATCATGTCTCGATGATTGTGTGTGTGTGTGTGCGTGCGTGCCTTAATTAGTTTTTTTTTTTTACTTTTGGGTGAGCGAACACGTACTACTTCTTTTATCAATACCTTTCCATGTAAAATCTGTACGTTTCAAACCTTACTCTAGGTTTTGTTCGCTTTCCCGATTTTATAATCAGTTACTTTTACGTTTGTTTTTATCTATTCTTTTATCGTCTATTGCTGATTATGAAGTCGAAATAAACTTATACTTATTATACTTATAACTGGGACTGCGGACTCCTGGGGGTTCGTGATGACTTCATAGGGGGTCTGCAGGGGTATGAAAAGAGCCTGAAACATATACAAATAGATCATAATCTTATTGAAGTGCCGTTAGCCAGCCAGTGTTTAACTTCAGTATGTATTGATTCAGACTTTCATGAGTTTTAATTTGTCAAAGGAAACATTATCCTTTATCGTTGATTAGGCACAGAAATTGATACGGCACAGGATGGGGTCCGTCGAAAATATAATTCATAAACGGGGGTTTGCGGCCCAAAAAGTTTGGGAAACCTTGGGCTATATCATACGTTCTCAAAGTGCTCCATGTAAAGCCCCTGTGCTTTGTAAGAGAAACCTTGAGATTTGTAAGTTATTCATTTACTTATTAAAATACTGAATATTTTTAATACAAAGCAGCAAATACATCCAAGTCATTAAAAAAGTTTTTTTAGTTTACTCAGAGAAATCAATCAGTAAATAAAAAATTGTTTTTTTTTTGTTCTGTTTGTGGGGCTCCATAAATAATAGTCAACCTTTTCACTGGCTTCGTAGCAACAAAAGTTACAGAACAATTCCTCTCTATAGGATAACCCCTGAAAGAAATGCAATATGAAGCTGTTTCCCCCTATTCTCCTACTTACTTAGATACACAGGGATAATTACAAAAATTCTATCATATCAATTATTTATGACAAATTTTTCTGGCTCCACTAAAGAGTTACTTAGATACACAGATGAATATCCCTCTATTCTCTAATGAATGTCCCCCTTTTTTCTAACATATTCCCAATTTCTCCCCTAAGATACAGAGATGAATGTGACATGAGAAAGCTTCTTATATCTGATATGAACGATTTACGTCACCAGTACGAAGACATGAAGAGAATGGCTGGCCAAGGAGCAATGGATGATGAGGATGATCCTGTCAGGTTAAAGATTGCTTTGAAGGTGAGAAGGGTTCTGGTTGCTTTTTTGTCGATTCTGTGTCCATATATTCGAGTAGGGGTCGGGAACCCATGGCTCTTTTGGTGACAGCATATGGCTCCCAAAAAAATCTAGTATTCTAAGGCTAAGCTTACTGATTAAGTGAAGAAATGCTATGTGGCTCTCACGGGAAAAGCAGTTGAAAATATGTACTTTTTTTGGCTCTCTTGACCAAAAAGGTTCCCTACCCATATATTCAAGCATCACTCTCTTGTTTTAGTTAATATGTTCAAAATTATTCAAGTTTTTGGACACAAACCAAATTATTTATATTGTACATAGGTAATTCTTGATTTCAGGGAGGGTATTTTGGTTGCTCGCTTGGTTTATTGTAAACGAAGTAGAATTATGGATTGTTCTGTTATCATGTTGTTTTTGTTGATCATGTGGTTAGTATTCTTTTTCTTTTGATCTCCTTATAACAGTAAATCAGTTTCACATTTATTCTCTGAAAAAGAAAGATTCTTGCACTTTCATAACTGGCTGCTTTCTTAAGCCTCATTCCTAAGAAAAGCATAAAATATCCCATAAAAAGGACGTGTATCTTCCTTGTAGTGTATTGAATCAGGGAACCCAACTATCTATAACATGCCTGCATTAGTAGTATGAAAATATATATTATGGAGTTCCCTCTAGACCAGACATGGGCAAAGTACGACCCGCGGGCCAAATTCATCCACTAGATAATTCAATCTGGCCCGCTTGATGCTGCCACAACCAAACTGAAATGTTTTAGCTAATAATAGCTCATAGAATTTGTTGAGATTGCGGTTAAATTTAGTTTTGGCACAAGGCTTATTGTTTTCCATCTGTTCTTTGTATTACTATAAATATTATTCATAAATTGTAACTTTTTACTCCTAAAGTGAAAATATGAATTGTCACTCTTTACCACTGGTTCTCAACCACTGGGCCATGGCCCACTGCTGGGCCACAGAACGAGTTTGAGTTGGGCCACAGACCTATTAATAATTGCTAGTTTCATTTATGTCACAATAGTTAATTTTGATTGGAGCAGCAATCAATTACGATGCTGTTTTCTGCTACTGAGTGGTAATTCCCATTCCAGATATAAACGTTAAAGTGTCCATTTTCGCAGAAAGATCTTGATTTTTCTTGTAGTTTTCCCCTTGCAATAAAAAGTTAATGGGCCACAACAATTTTTGGGCAACCAAAAATGGGCCAAGAAAGAAAAAAGGTTGAGAACTACTGCTTTATACAATTTGTCCAGATTTTCCACACCTCATCAGTTTTTAGGCACTTTGGTATCACTGCCAAGAGTTCAACAAATTTCTTTGAATCTATTATTGTAAAATTTTCTCGCTGTGTTGGTTTCGATTTTAGCTGACTTAGTGGCTATTTATGTTTGGCATCCTTATCAGCCGAGCCTACAATCTAACAGTAATAATCTCACATTTAATAGGATTTGACAATGCGCTTATCTTTTAACTTATCCTGGAACCTTTTTTCTTTTACAGGTAGCACGAGAGAATTTGGGCACTCAAGCCGCTGAATTAAATCGAATCAAGGCAGATTACGGAGATGTGATTCCTCGCCGAGATTTCCTTGCATTGGAAACAAATTTCACTGAGATGAATGAAAAATACGAGACTTTCCAACAAGATTTCTCAAAGCTCAAATCAGAACATGATACCTTGTTGGATGTGCACCAACAGGTTGGTCGTATATGTTAGTTGGTTGTATATGCAAGTAGGTTGTATGTGCAAGTTGGTTGCATGTGCTAGTTGGTTGTATATGCGAGGAGGTTGTATAGGCAAGTTGGTTGCATGTGCAAGTTGGTTGTATATGCGAGGAGGTTGTATATGCAACATTGTATGTGCAAGTTGGTTGTATGTGCAAGTTGGTTGCATGTGCTAGTTGGTTGTATATGCGAGGAGGTTGTATGTGCATGTTGGTTGCATGTGCTAGTTGGTTGTATATGCGAGGAGGTTGTATATGCAAGTTGGTTCTATGTGCAAGTTGATTGTAAGTGCAAGTTGATTGTGTGTGCAAGTTGGTTGTATGTGCAAGTTGGTTGTATCTGCAACTTGGTTGTATGTGCAAGTTAGTTGCATGTGCAAGTTGGTTGTATATGCGAGGAGGTTGTATATGCAACATTGTATTTGCAAGTTGTATATGCAAGTTGGTTGTATGGGCAAGTTAGTTGTATGTGCAAGTTGATTGTATGTGCAAGTTGATTGTGTGTGCAAGTTGGTTGTATGGGCAAGTTGGTTGTATGTGCAAGTTGGTTGTATGTGAAAGTTGGTTGTATATGCAAGTAGATTGTATGTGCAAGTTGATTGTATGTACAAGTTGGTTGTATGTGCAAGTTGGTTGTATGTGGAAGTTGGTTGTATATGCAAGTAGGTTGTATATGCGAATAGGTTGTATTTGCAAGTTGATTGTATGTGCAAGTTGGTTGTATGTGCAAGTTGGTTGTATGTGCAAGTTGGTTGTATGTACAAGTTGGTTGTATGTGCAAGTTGGTTGTATGTGGAAGTTGGTTGTATATGCAAGTAGGTTGTATGTGCAAGTTGGTTGTATGTGAAAGTTGGTTGTATATGCAAGTAGGCTGTATGTGCAAGTTGGTTGTATGTGCAAGTTGGTTGTATGTGCAAGTTGGTTGTATGTGAAAGTTGGTTGTATGTGCAAGTCGGTTGTATGTGAAAGTTGGTTGTATATGCAAGTAGGCTGTATGTGCAAGTTGGTTGTATGTGCAAGTTGGTTGTATGTGCAAGTTGGTTGTATGTGAAAGTTGGTTGTATGTGCAAGTTGGTTGTATGTGAAAGTTGGTTGTATATGCAAGTAGGCTGTATGCGCAAGTTGATTGTATGTGCAAGTTGGTTGTATGTGCAAGTTGGTTGTGTGTGCAAGTTGGTTGTATAGGCAAGTTGGTTGTATGTGAAAGTCGGTTGTATATTCGAGTAGGTTGTATGTGCGAGTAGGTTGTATGTGCAAGCTGCTTGTATGTGCAAGTTGCTTGTGTGTGCAAGTTGGTTGTATATGTAAGTTGGTTGTATATGAAAGTTGGTTGTATATGCAACTTGGTTTTATATGCAAGTTGGGAAGTGGTTACTGTCAGTTAACTTTCTATAATATATTTGCGAAATAACTGACAATTACGATATATTTTCTAACTTTTTTCTGAAGGATAGCAAAGCTGATAAAACAGCTCATTGATGGTTCATCTGTTGTGCTCAATGTTATTAGAATTAAATTAAGATTTTCATATTTATCCCGGGGGGAAGGAAAGACGACAAGACGATTTAATCGTATAGAAAGCCCCAGACTTTTGTGCGGTTACCAATCTATGTCAGGCATGGATCCCGCTATTTGTTAGAACTCGATGGTAGTTGACCGGGGCCTATGGGAACCAAACTGTGACAAAGCGGGATCCAGTGATTTTTTATGCACACAAAAAGTCTTCAAGGTGCCATCAAATTTTATTTATTTGGCATCTGGTTTTAGCCCAAAATCTCAACTTGTGACCTGGTAAGCTATCAAAATTGATTGCATTCTTGATAATGTGGTTTGGAAGAAGTGCCAGGTTTTAGATTCTAGTCCCGAAATTGAAAATTCAAATTTATATATTTTCAGGTTATAGATCAAAGAGATGAATATTATACAGAAGCAGAAACATTGAGAAGAAGCGCGACCCCGAGACCGCAGTGGAAAAAATGCGCTGAGATTGTTCCCGGTGAGAATAAGGAATTTTCTCAGCAGGATACATGTTTACTTCAAAAACGATAGCAATACTACCGGTATTTGCTTTAAAATAGAAGTACCTAATGGGTATTCCCATAGTGTATGTACTAGGTTAGGGTTGTGGCATATTTTTATTCCGATTTTCCTTATTTTATTTCTATTACGAGTTTGGGAACAGTCTGTGTTCGCCAAGTGAATATACCTCCTGCTCATAGGTTACAGTCCCTTTACACAACTTGATGTAAAGTAGGCGAACAAAATTAGTTACCTCCATATTGGTAATCACACTTCTGGAACCGCCGTTTGATTGACATAAAATAAATTCAGAACATATTCAAAATTCTATATTTGAAAAAATTATTTTTGGCCATCCCTGTCCAGAATAAATGTACAAAATTTGGACCTCCAGAAGTATGTGCACCAAGATGGCGTACAACCTTAACATACTATGTGTACCAAATTAGGGTTCAGGTTGTGCGCCATCTTCGTGCACATACTTTGGGAGCGCCTAACCTGCAATTCTTTTTCACTTTATCCAGGTGGTCAAGAGCGTTGGTACGATCTATATCACGGCAAACGCAGTGCCGAAATCCTCGATTCTCTTGTCAGTGAACTGAAAGCTGGTCACGATAAAGGACCTGAAACATTCGAAGGAGAAGGCCTGGGAGAAGAAGTTCCAAAGTCTGATTCATAACATTAATTTTACTTATCATTAATTTTTTCTATATTTTATGGTATGCTATGCTGCCATCCTTTTAAACCTTCTTCATTGATGCAGAATTATTTATCCCAGTCAGAATTGTTAATTTATTTTGAACTCGACCATGGTACAAAAAAATACAGTACGCAAGACAAACAAATGAGACAGAAATCCAAGAAGTACATATTGTCTTAAAATATAAGTTATAGCTTGTTATATGTCTTATATATGCAATTGAGAGAATATATAACACATCTGTATAGAAGTGCTATTAGAGTAAGTCAATCAAGATGAGAGATGACATTTATTTCAGGGATCACTAATTTTAGTTTATCAGTTTTAATTTTCTTTTTAAATCATATCAGTATTGTCTACTTCACATCCTCTCTACGTATCAAATTTTGCTTACAAATTTCATACTACACAGTGATAGCTTGATATGCAGTGCTGTTATTTGTATTATATATGCAACTGAGAACATTTTGTAACAAGGATATTGAGTGTGTTATTTGTGTAGTTTGCAAAAATCCAAGCTTATTTGAAAGATCGATACTTTTGGAAGCTCAGTTTTTCTGTTTTACTCTTTGTATCTGCAGTTCATATAACTTATTCAGATCTTACTATATTCCATGCTGGAATATATTCTTTTATACCTTACACTTGCAGATTTATTTAACAGATCAGGTTAGCTATTATTATATGGTTAAATGCTGTCAGTGCTGTAATATTTATTCTATGTGCAATCGAAAATGTTTGTTATAAGGATATACACATAAAGTTCTCTTTGAAAAAAAAATAGGAGACAGTGAAGAGATGCAGTTTAACTGTATATTAGTGAGTTGCATGGAACATATATTAATAAATAAGTTTACAGCCGCTGGCTGGAAAGAGTGAATATTTATGTAGGGGATTGCAGGAATGAATAGAGATGCATCATTACTTATACACAGTGATTTATTTGATACAATGTTGTAGGTGAATATTATTAATTTAATTGGAATACTGGTATATAGAAAAATTTTAAGAGAATATGCAGAATGAAGGATATGCATGAAGGTAGGACATCTTTGTCAGAAGAAAAAGCAGGTGGGTTTTCAGTTGATTTGCTTCATATTAGCTGAGGTTTACCTGACATATTTTTAGAAGTATAGTATCCATGTTAGCCTTCGAGAACTGAGATATGGGTATAAGTGGTTAAGCTATTTGCATCACTTTCTCTGGTATGAATGACGCAAGTAGAGCTATAACAAGCTCTGGGTTTGTTATTTTTGCTAGTATTAAAGCAGTTAGTATTTGAATTTTTCACTTAGAATTTCATGCTATAGGTTTTGAAGTTAGAGAAAGTTACCAGCACACTTGAGAGCTATCTCAAAATAAATGGGGGCTGTAAAAAATTTCGATGCTGACTGCAATTTCATATCTTTGGAATAACAAAATTTTGAATTCTCACAATTTAGTGTCTAGAAACATTTATAGTTGCAAATGAAAATTTCAACTCTTTCAATCTTTGAATAGTTTAGTTAGCTCTGCCTCTAATCCAGTATAAAGAAATAAGTCTATGTCTATGGCTTTTCTTCAAATCTATTGTACACAACTTTTTTCAATCTGTTAAAATTTCAGAAGTCTTCTACTAACATATTCAAATTATTATAATTTATTCCTATATTCACAGATACCTTCAGTTTGAAGGAACTATTCGCAATCGAATGTTATCAAAAGCTGAAGTTGCAAATCTTCTGAAACTAATCTGGAGTTCGAAAACGGAAAGTGATCGTCTGAAAGGGGCTCGCCAAGACATGAAAGAATTTCTGCTCGATTATTTTAGGGTAAGCCTTGAAAATTCTTTAAACAGTTGTGTATAGATATTGAAATATTTTTGATACTTTTCCGAAAGAAAATGAGCATAAGATCGATATGATTGTGATCTGCATCCCCAACCAACCGAAATCTTTAAATATTTAAGAAATATGTCATTGCTTTCAACAACAAAAATATTTACAAAAATGTTCATTATGGAATACAGTATGAAAATATAAACATTAGGATTGAAAATTATTCTTAATGGATTTCATTTTACATACTATATTATGTTAATTGTAACAAATTTTTTTTACCATTTCACTGTCAGATATTTATTATTTACTAAACTTAATGTCAGGATGAATATCGGAATATTTCCTTCTATGAAAAATTGAAGTATAATAAATAGAGCTTTTATGAAAAGAAAAATTATAGGTTGATTTTTTATGAAATGAATATTTTATGGAAGAAATTTTTCTTCTTGAAGCTGTTCGAGGGAGTTTTTGGGAGGAACTTTTCAGGCACCATTAGTTAGATTATTTATATTTAAATGAAACTTGCAAATTTCCAGCAAAAATACAACGACCCAGAAATGGTAGCAGAATGGGGATATTCATTGAAACAAGCTTTGATCAACTTTGAGAATGAACCTCATGTTAAACTGTTTGCCAATGTTTTGAATGGTAAAGGTAAGTGATGCGTTTTATGATGCATTTTTACACAATACAAGGCTATAGGTAAGCAGGTCCATAGGTGCAGCCGGGGGAGGTCCTGGAGGACCATGCCCCCCACCCCCGAATTTTCAATATATTTTTTTAACCCTTTCCGTGCGGTGGGCACGTATACGTACCCACGAAAATACTCGCTAGATTGCGGCGGGTACGTTGATGTACTCCACTGTTTTATTTAGCAATCGGTCGCAAACTGTTGGTCTAGTTTTTCCGGGTTTTAGTTTATTGATAAGAGGTCTTCTTTGAGATTAACATAAGCGACGGTAAATCTCGCTTTCGTTTACGATGGGAATTTTATTTGCGGCGGAACGAGGGAGTGTTTTTGAAATTTATGCAAATTTCGGTGTTTTTTGGGTGGTAATAGAAGACATATTATCCCTTCCATCTACCAAAGTATTTTGAGTTAGATAACGAAATTGCTACAGCAATATTATGCTATTGTTTGCCAAACAAGAAGCGGTAACAGTAAAGGATTTAGCGAATATTTCTATTTTTTATCACGGTTTGAAGTTTCAACACCCAAGAAAAAAATATGCCTTTTTTCTATCCGGTTTGTGACTCAAACCACCCCTTTTAAAAAAATTTTTTTTTTTAATCGCCAATTGCAGGCTTTTTAAATAAGCTTTCCAATGAGCCATCAGTGGGCAGCAGAGGATCATTACTTTTTCGTTAGTCGATCGATTAGTTGTAGGGGTACAAATGCATAAAGTCGGCGTAGCAAATACGATTATTTAATAAAAATCGCATGGAAAGGGTTAAGTGCATCTTTGCATTGAGGCGAATATTTGTACTTCTTTTAAAACACCATTTCGCTTTATTTTTGAACGATTTACTGAAAACCAGACGTTTTCTGACTTACTAACAATAACTCTATCTCCAAATAAACCAACCGAGATAGATGAAAAAGTGCACTAATATACCTTGGATAACTTCAAAAGTAAGGTAAGTCTGTGGAGAGATTCTTTGAGATATTGATAGATATCACTGGCTGCTTTATCTAGCCTTATTCAAAGCAAAATAAACGAGTAAGCATCATATTACGTCAAACTGCAAAAAAAATTTGCTAACTTCTCCTCAAAATTTTGGGCTGGCTATAGACTTGATAAGTTCTAGTGTACTAAAGAATTGCTCTGGAACTTACGTAACTGTATTGGAAAGAGTCAAATTATTGACACTACTCTGGTGGTCACCATTTATCAACAACTTGAAGAGAATCAAGTCATCTAAATGGAATTTCTAGGCTTCGTTATCAACTAACCACCAGTGAGAGATATCTAAGTCAGGGGTGCACAACTCAAATGAGGATACGTGCCAAATTTTTCAAAATAATCTTGTTGCGTGCCACGTACAATTGTGGTTTTGTATATTAACTCCCGCAAAACAAACAAATTTCAATAATAATACATAATAACGGATATTGAAACAATTCAATACCCGAAAAACTGCTGATTTTGATATAAACATGATATTTTAATGTATATCATGAATAATTTTTATTTTACAAAACCGTTTGCGTGCCACGTTTGAGCGTATGGCGTGCCAAATTTGGCCCGCGTGCCCCGTGTTGTGCACCCCTGATCTAAGTAATTGACTCGATTTCGAATGGCTCGACTTCAACCCAAACCTGGTGCTTGTACAGACACTTGTTTAGGGTGAAAGTGCGAATACTCTTATAAAAATATATACACATACTTGAAATGATATTGACAGAATACCTTCAATATAAATCATATTGATATTTATTATGCGCTAAATATGAACAATTCATTCCAGGTTCCGAAGATATTTACTACAGAGAAATGGACGTGATCAAAACATTGATGGTTTCATTGGATGAACTTGATAATGAGAAAGCCGGTAAGTTTACTCAAAGTTTTCTTGTTTTGAGCTAATCCGTAAATTTTGTTGCAAACATTCACACAAAGTTGTGATTTTAAACACTCAGTGGGGCTGTATTCAGATTAATCTAGTCTTACTCGTTTTTCTAAGACTTGTTCTTATCATGTCAGTATTTGCTGCAAATCCTCAATTATCGTTTAGAAGGGTTAGATATTAAAAATAAACTCACTTGATTTCTATCAGTACCCACTTTTAAGTAAAGAGTTGGTGAAGTGCCTAGACAAAAATTGGGTACTCCGGAAGTAAGTGCGCCAAAATGTCGCACAACCTGAACCCTAACCTGGTACACAACCTGAGTTCAGGTTGTGCGCCATCTTGGTGCGTATACTTCAGGAGATCCAAAAATGGAACATTTCAAATTTGAATTTTCATGTTTATGCCAGGGAAAGAAATCCAGATAAGATAAGAAACTTAATCATTTGCAAATCACGGCCTCTTGTCTGGTTACAAACCCATGTCAGATGTAGAATATTTGGACCTCCTGAAGTATGCGCACCAAGATGGCTCACAACCTAAACTCAGGTTGTGAACCATGTTAGGGTTCAGGTTATGCGACATCTTGGTGCGCATACTTCAGGAGTACCGAATATTTATTCAGGTATTGATTCCATATGCTTAAACATGATGATAGAGGAAGCCCTAACTGACCAACGGTTACCTAAGCACCCTCTGATAACGAGAAGTCCTGCAACTATCTCACACAGAATTAGGATAGGTGTAGGGGTGTAACCAGAAATTTTCAAAGAGGAGGGGGGGGGGTCCTAAATTTCTAATTGCCAATTTAGACCAACAGGAAGCTGCAAAAAGGTTGTTTTCAAGTCTCGAAGGTCGAGAATAAAATGCCTGTTTCAAGTTACCAAAATTTGCCAGAAAAATTTCTTTTTTACATTTCAAAAGGAGGGGGGTTTCAAAATGAAACTCCTTCCCCCTGGCTACGATCTTGGATAGGTGTTTCGTTTAAAACAAGTTTAACATTATGCCGATGATTCTGGCTGGTTTTATGTTCGAATTCTTCTTCCAGGTAGTCTAAATATCGACCAGTTTGGAGCAGCGATCAAGAAAGCGTTCCCATTAAAGATGGATCCAGAAATTGAAGCTTTAGTATCTGCAGCACAGGCTGAACTGGAAATGGTTTCTGATACGACGACGACTATTGTTTATCGGGTATTTGTCTTGTTTATTTTTTGTATTCGATGTATAGGGTTTACATATTTATCATCGGGGAGAAGAAGGATATAAGACGGCTTAATCATATGACGAACCACGGCCTCTCATCTAGTTACCATCCGTGTTGAGTATGGGATTAGTTAGCCAGGTATTTGTTTTTGGAAGCATGAACTTAATGGTGGAGGAGGCCGTAACAGACCAGCTGTTACATAAACCACTCCACGGCGGAGAGGAGTCCAGCAATCCTCTCACACATAACTATCCCCGCCTAGGATTCGAACCTGCGAATCTACACAGGGTATTCAGAAGTGCAGTGGCGAGTGTATTCCCAATGCTTAGCACGATGCGCCACATATTTCTCAACAAGGCTCTGTTAAGTGAAGAGGTGCTTTAGTTTGGTAGTAGGATGGTATTTTCATATTCATTATTTCATAGGGCAGCTTAATCTTATGGCGAACCACCGTATTGTCCGCGTACCAGTTCATTTCGGATATGGGAATAGTTAACGAGGTTACTTGTTTTGAATGCATGGACATATTTATAACACTTCCACCTCAAACAGTCATTAGCCATCGTTAGATAAGTCTGCTATAGTTTGAAAGGGGCTGAATCATTTCAGTTTCGCATGGCCTACCAAATTTATTACACCATGCGTGAGGTGATGGGATCTGGTATTTGAACCTGAGTTGTGTAAATTATGACGCCATTACAGTTAAGTATAATGCCTTGACTATTCGACCTTTGCACCCACACACTGCGCTTACTCCACAATCCAGACCAATTCATCTGCAATGATTTTTTGAATTTAATAACTGTTCCAATATGAACTGAACTGATAACTTGATGAGAGGCTGTGGTTCAAAATTCGACTGAGCCATGTTGTGTGCTCTACTGAAATAAATATGAAAACCTACAATTTTTAAAGTGAACACTCTTATTTTTTCAGGCATTATTCACAGAAGATGAAGAGGGGAACACTGGTCCTTTCCTTACTTTGTTGAGACAGCAAGAAAGAGATGAGAGAGACGCCTATGTGGATGAGATATTCAAACAATTGGAAGGAAAAGATGAGGTGGGTGTGGTGTGGGCGGAACCATGATCTGATGGAATGGATATGATCATTAGGGCATTGAGGGGGCAAGTGAAACTTGACATAATTTAGAATTCCTTTATTATACCGAAAAAATTGATTTCCAACCGGTTCAAGATATGAAAGATGTGGTATCTTAATGCTTCTCCAGCTACTATAAATAGGTTCACAACTTCTTTTAAATGGTCCAAATTCGTTGGTAATTTCTATCATTGAATCCTAGGACAGCAACACTTTTGCGGGTGATGCCACTTTAGGGTTAATGCGCATTGTCTTTAGGAAAAAGGGTAGTTTGAATGTAAGATGGAACTTTTTCGTATTAGTTTGCTCAAAGCAACGTTTAATGACTTCAACAAAAAGTGGAAATAGTAATGATGCCAAATTCACTAATACGCAAACACATTTAACACGCAAGACTTGCAATTTAACCTAAAATTCACAATATCTCTTTTTATGTATTACTACTAGCTTCATCCCATATTCTAATTTAAAGCAATCACCTATGCAAAAGACTCTGGTGGGATTTATGGAGCATTGTCCTTTTTACAGAAGTTCCCTCGCATAGTTTATGCCTGCTAAAATTTTATTTTAATTTAAAGGTCCCAATGCAAGAAATGAAGGAGACATTAATGATGCTAGATCCCCAGATCACTTCACCTATCATGCAGAAGTATCTCAGCATTGCTTACTCTTGCACTCCAGAGCTTACAGAACAAGCTGAACCCGCCGCCTTAGACACAGTTATTGATAGAATGAAAAAGGGGGGAATTTATAGAGTGGGAACACCATTGTAAAATGGGAACACTGAATTTTTATGGGTAGAAACTATATAGTGGATTGGCCCATGGATCGTTAATTTTTCAGAATTTCGTGGTTGATATTCTAAAAACATGCTGATTTCTCTGTCCAATCAAATTTAGACACATTTTGAACAGAGAAAATTTCCACGAATAAATGTATGTTCATTGCAAAAATGGAAGGGAGAAAAATAATATTTGACTGTTGGGTGCTCAATTTTTCATGTAAATCATTCCAAATTTGGTTCTAATTTGACATGTATTCTAATTTTCTATTCATAATGTAAAACTGGTCTTTTCAGATCAGATTATTGTGTACAATTTTGTTCTACTTTATGTTAAGTACATTTATTTTACCAGAACTATTACAACACTGGATTTCACCATGGTTGTTAATTAATGTTTGTGCACTTCATACTCTGCTTTTATTTTTTTTCTGTAAATTCGCTAAAGCAGTTGTATAAGTTGTTGACAAACTCATCCCCTCATGCAAACTTCCCCATTCAAGAAAGGACCAGTATACAAAAATGAAAACTTCTGTTCTTCTCTGTTGTCATTTTGCTCATCATGGAGGTCAGGTGGCCTAAGCATTGATACAGAAATTTTCTATTTTAAATATTATATCATGTTTTTTGTAATAAATTTTACTACTGTGAAAGGTATTTACTTTATCTGTAGGTCAATGTTATAGAACAGGGCTACTCAACTATTTTCACCAAAGGTCCAGTTACGAAACTTCAAAATTACTGGGGTTACATTACAGAAAATTTATTTCAATAAATGAACGAAACCTCAAATGCAATATTAAATTTAATACAATCACAAACATGGACACAAATATCGCACATCGGTATCAGTACGACAAACTGAATTGTGTATTTAAATTGTATCAAAATCATCTGAAACTATAAAACGATGCTTATGCTGCGAAAATAAACAAGCAGACGCGGTACGAATTCTATGGTCGAAAGGTCCGGATTCGGATCGCAGTCCGCCAGTTACAGGCAGTCCGGTTGCGAGAAAGAACCAAACTTCTGACAAAATTATTCTTTAGATTAATTACCTGTCACAGCTAGCGTGTACGACCGGGAGCCGAAAAAAGCGGGTTTAGGTCTTTCGCGACCCATTTGAACCTGGCTGTGCATGTCCTGATTATCCAATCCATTTTAGACAAACAAAAACTATTTTCAGCTCAACATAAATGATTTTATTTTATCTGATTAAGTTTGAATTATTATTGCACAATATACAAACAGTAGCATTATTTACAAACAATGATTTTAATGATTAGATGACAACATGAAGAGTGCAAATACATGATCAGTATAATAATAATAAGTATAATCACACATGGGTCACGCTTAAATGGCAGATTTTATCTTTGGGGCATGCATGGGGATAGCATAAAGCATCTACTATAGTTAGGAATTTAAGCCCAGTTAAGGTCACAAACACCCATTTCAAGGTTATATACGCTCACCAGAAGGAGATTCAAGGTCACAAACACCCACCTAATGAGCATACAAGGTCACAAGCACACCCTTGAAGGTCAAATAATGGATCATATAATACAATGTAATAGTAATATAATACAATGTAAAAGCAATCTAATTACTATGTTTATGCTGGTTATACTTAAGGCTCTCAATATCTGAATACTAATCTAGAATTGCAGGCATCGCAATTAAATTTACAAATTTATTTTGATTGAGCTAAAAGAATTCTACATACGGTAATTAAATAGACTTAAATCATATTGCTTGAATCACTCTAAATATGTTTTCCTAAGAGCTTTATACAACAAGAAGAAGAAAAAGGAAAGATGAAAGCTAGAATACATGGGGTAAGAGAAGGACAATATTACCATACATCAGGGTTGGCCAACAAGTTACCGTAGATTACATTATCAAATCAACAAATTAAATGAAACATAAAAAAATACATTACAAATTTTTGTGGCGATTTCATCATGAATGCCCCAACAAAGAGTCGAGCTTATTAGCAGCAGTGGAATTTTTCATTGACTGTGTATAGTTATCTGCATATTCAGTACTCATTCGTTTTGGTGTGTGACCTCATGACTATAACTATTTTAGTCGAAAGCAGATTGACAGGCACCCTGCCATATATGCATCGACACAGATGGATTTCTAAAGAATCATAGTATGATGTCTTCTTATTGGAGTTTGTTAAAATTAAGACAGTACAGTAAATAATACTGATTTTATAACACATAGCAGAACTCTATTAGATTCAGTATACATGCACACAGAAATCAGTAAAGGAAAATAATATTCAATGCAAAAAGGTAACAACTATAGAATTGGAGGGTTCATTCAGATACACATAGTTATCGGCACTCCAGAAGTTTTCGTACCAAGATGACGCACAACCTGAACAACCCTAACCTGGTACACATTCTATGTTCAGGTTGTGCGCCATCTTGGTGCGAATACTTCAGGAGCACCTAGTTATCTGGCTAGCAATAAGACAAGAAGAATTCCTATATGCTTTCCTCTCCGCCAGAATATGTGTGAACTATTATTTATTCACCATGCGATAACTACTTACACAGTAACTGGTACATAAGAAGAAACTATTGCTGAAAAATTGTGATTTTTCAGATTAGGGTTATAGCAGTGATGCCAACACAGAGAGTGTGCATCTCCCATAAAACAGGGGTGGGTAAATGACGGCTGCGGTTGGGATTAGGCCCATTGAAGTGCGTCATCTGGCTCACTTGTGTCTGCTGAAATTATGAGTACAGTTTTTATGGATAAAAAATAAAGTCTTAATGCCCCGGATTGTAACATCGTACAAACGGTAGCCTAGCTGTTGTATATAAATTTAATTTCATTCATAGTTTTTAGTTGTGTTTCGTGACTCCGGCCCAGTAACCAAGTCTATTGTCTGTAACTCAGAGAAGTAACTTCCCACCCCTGACCTAGGATAAAGAAATTGGTTTATCTACCATGCGATAAATACTAACATACAAAAAGCATTATTCTACAAAAAAATTATCTTAAAGTAAATAATGGAAGATTCACCATGACATACTATTGCAATAAACATATCAAACTGCAAAACAAAATATACTAATACTGCATTACTAACATATTAACAACCATCAAAAAGGTGTTACATTCCTAACAAGGTTCTTTGCAAGCAAACATTGTTATGTAAGGAGTAACAAGTCGGGTGCAGAGCCCGAAATTTTCAAAAGAGGGGTTCTGAAATTTCTGATCGCAGGGGAGTGGTTTTGCGGGTCAACCCCCCCCTTTTTTTGAAATGTAAAAAAAATAAAATCATTTTTCTGTATCATAGATAGCAATTTTCCATAGCTTGAAATGCTTTTTAGACATCAAGACTAATAAAAACACGAGTATTCTGGCGTTCGATCGGACGCGCTAGCTGTTTTGATCTAACTTGGCAAAAAAAATTTCAGAACCCCCTCCTTTGAAAATTATCGGCTACGCCCCTGGTCTTGAGGGTCTAAAAAGAGTGTCAAGCTACGAAAAATCGCAATGTATGATCCAGAAATGGGTGCTCCCGAAGTATGCGAACCAAGATGGCGGACATCGGAACGTAACATGGGTAACAGGTTAGGGTTAGGCAATAATTTCTTTCCAATTTTCTCTATTTTAGTCCTATTACCAGTTCGAAGACTAGCCAAGAGCCTCCCGTAGTATTTATACCTAAAATTATGGCCTAACCCTAACCTAGTACACATATTACATTCCGATGTCCGCCATCTTGGTTCGCATACTTCAGGAGCCCCCAAAAAAGTGCCTTTTTTACATTTCCGACCCCCATACGCCTTTGATACCAGTTTGATACTTATGTAAGTATCATTCTTGGTGGTTCAGTTATATTATTTTTAAGATGTGTGAATAATTGAGAGAATATGAGCTTGCACGATACTCGAAATCACGGTTCCAGAATCTAACAAATACAGACTGTTTTGCGATAAATTTTCGACTGAAAACTGAAGTCAGGAAAAGGTTCAATATAAATGTAGGTATTTCGGACAGATTCGGAAAAAAGTTTTTGATATATATAAAATAATGATGGATTATTCGTCCAACCCTGGTAATTGAGTTTAATAATATAGCTTCTGAATATCTAAAACTAAAGTTATTTGAATACTTGAAAGAATACTGTAAATTAAGGAATACTAGAACTAGTGTAGATTACGGAGGTCAGATGATACTGTGTGTAAAGGGTTAATAAAATGTGATTATTTGGGAAACCCCATGTGTGATCTGGGGTTAATAATATTTAATCTTTGTTGACGTCTGCGCTGTTCTGTTACTTGATCTTGGAGATCCTGAAAGTAGAAAAAGGTCAAGGGTCATTTTTGAATAATCCAGGAAGAGGATCCTAATTAGTAGAAAGGGTCAGAGGTCATTTTTGTATAATCCAGGCAGAGGATGCTAATTAGTATAAAAAGGTCAGAGGTCATTTTTGTATAATCCAGGAAGAGGATCCTAATTAGTAGAAAAAGGTCAGAGGTTATTTTTGTATAATCCAGGAAGAGAATCCTAATCAGTAAAAAAGGTCAGGGGTCATTTTTAGAATCCCAATTAGTAGAAAAAGGTCAGAGGTCATTTTTGTATAATTCAGGAGGAAGATCCTAATTAGTAGAAATAGGGTCAGAGGTCATTTTCGTATAATCCAGGAAGAGGATCCTAATTAGTAGAAAAGGGTCAGAGGTCATTTTTGTATAATCCAGGAAGAGGATCCTAATTAGTAGAAAAAGGGTCAGAGGTCATTTTTGTAAGTCTGACTTTTTCGCTACACTATTCATGAGGATCTAAGTCAGGTAGATATAATACTTCGGCACAAGGAAATACTAATCATATCCAGCGGAATTCATGCTATATCAGGGTTAGGATCGATATGATACTTTAGAACAGTGGTCCTTAAACGGTATTTACATTTCTTTATTGTTTAGATATTGCGATTTCATCCATGTATTTTCAATTAATTTTTTGAATAAAACATACTTTCGTCTTACTACCTATTATTTTTAGCTTATTGTTATTTTTGAGGTGGGGCACGAGACTTGACAAATTCTAAAAAGGGGGCGCGGCCTAAAATGTTTGAAAACCACTGCCTAAGAGAATAGAGTGCAAATATGAGGTGAGAGTCGGACAACTAGAAAAAATGCAAGGCACGTTGAGCATGAGATTTCTTAAGCCCCCTTGACAACCTTTAACAAGACCGTGATCATAAAATTCATTTACCTGTAATTGTTTCGATAGTTGCGAAACGAGAGCAGTTGTATTTTCAAGTTGTTGGCATAATGATCTCACGTCACTGTTCTCATCAGCTTCATCCCCTGCTTTCAAAGACATTGCTTGCATTCGTGGAAACCATTCCAGCATATTGTCCTGGAATATAGAGAACAATATAATGTCAGAGAGAAAGTGGAATGGACCGTCCACAAGAACCGATACCGGAGGCAGTACATATAATTAGGATACCGGTATATCGAATTGTTACAAAGATACACACGCTTAAACTGTGATAATGACGTAACAGTAAAACGTAAAAAGAAAAAACAAAGTGTGAAACTATTTCACTTAACATATTCGATCGTTATGCAGGTCGTAATTAGCCCAAAGGCAGCGGTTTGGGAACCACTTGTCTAAATTCAC